TCTCCACATGCTTTGTATTATTGATGCTGCAATTTACATCATCATTTGCCTACTGACATATTTTATGGCTGCCTGTAACGCTTTCGGTTTCTGTCCTTCACAGAAGAATTAAACGGCTTGCCCACTACCACGCCCACATTCTGGGGCCTTCCACACTTCCTCGTGCTTTTGTACCGTTGCTCGGCAACATTTTTTTTTTTTTTTGGTCTTACAAGGCAGAGATGACAGGGGTGGTCCCTGGGCTGCTGCCTGTCTCCACGTCTGACGCGTAGCTTCAACAGCACTGGGTCCCTGTGCCTTTGAACTCTGAATATGTGCTATGCACTGTTCCTGCTGAGCAACTTGCTAATAGTCTCACATGTCTTGTTTATGTGATATGTTGCTTTTCTTTCCCTGTTTCAACACTGTCTTCTCTGACCATGTGACTATAATGCAATTTCCTTGGATTAATCTTATTTGGGGCATCTCAAATCTGGACATTTCTTTCTGCGCATCTGTGAAATAACAGCTCAGTCGGCCGGCCGGTCAGTCAGTCTGTCTGTCTCCCCTTCTCTCCTTCCTATCCTCCCTCCCAGTCTCTCTCTCTCTCTCTCTCTCTCTCTCTCTCTCTCTCTCTCTCTCTCTCTCTCTCTCTCTCTCTCTCTCTCAATATCCCATAAATCCTGTAACTCTTGCACACTGCCCCTTCTAACTGGAGAATTTCTGATAGCCTGCCTTGATTTACTAGGTTTTATTTTCCCCCCTGCTTTAAAGCCTTCTGATAAAATCTTCCGTGTAGGTAACACACTCTTTCTTTCTGGGGGCTTCTGTTTGGCGTTCCTTAATGTCGCCCATCTTTATGTTGCCATTCACGTTTTGTGCATCTGTGCTCTCCTGGCCACATTAAGAGCCTGAATTAGATTCTCTGAGCAGTAAGCAAACCGTCCATGTCCACTCCTTTTGGGTGAGTTTCTAGAGACTAACTCGATTTCTTTGTTCAGCACGCCTTTCCCTGGTTCTTCTTGTCCTTTGATGCCTTTTATTTTTATCTCCATGTTAGAAGGGCGACTACTCCAGCTACTTATTTTCTGTACCTTGAACCACCGCGCCCCCTCCACCCCACCCCACCCACGTCTTCCTTTGCATGCTGCCAGCCTCTCTGTATCCATGTTGATTCCTTCCTCCTTCAAACAAGAGGAAAAAACCCCAACTTCTCCTGACAGATTCCGTGGGCACCTCCCACATTCCCACTCGTCTAAGCCGCTGTTTGTCTTCTTAGCAGTCTGCCATAGTTCTAGACCATTCTGGGTCCTATAACTTTTTGAGGTGGGTGAAACAGAAGCCAAACCCTCATTTGCTGCCCAGAGAGCTGAGATCTTGGACGGTCAGCCACGCTGTCTCTCCAGGGAAGGCTGGGCTCTGAGGCTTCGCCTCTGTTCTTCCCCGGGTTGGTAGAAAGACACTGCAGTTGCACACAGGCCAGCGTTTAGTGACACGCACCCACCACACACAAGCCCTCTGGAGTACCCCAGCCCCTACCAGCTCTCCCTGGCAGACAGACGCCTCAGCAATCCCTGCATGGGCTGGGATGATAAACGTCTGATACGATGCGTCACCAAGGTGCTAAGAACTGGTGGTGGGAGTCACTCTGTGAGTGTCTTGAGAGTTTGCTCCTAGCTCAGAGTACAGGAGATTCAATCGGCATCTGGATTTTTCAGAGGGGTCATTTTTCCACATGTCACTGTTGTTGAAAAATATTTTCTCGGGGGAGGAGTCCCAGGACACAGCTGCCTTTGCTGTCTTGCTCACATGGTTTGGTGTGTTGATCACTTGACTGTTTTTAATTTCTGAGATGCTCCTCCTCCTTTGTAGCCTACACTAGCCTTGAACTCATGATCCTCCTGTTTCCCCCTTTGCTTACAGGATAATAGGCAAAATTGTTTTGTTTTATTCCCCCTATGATATCAGTTTTAGAAATAGCCTCAAGAGTGTCCATCATATTCTGAGAGAGTGAAAGGACTTTAAACACCAACAGAAGTTCATATTTAATGATACAAAATATTTCTATCACTTATATGTGTTTGTCTAGAAGACAATGATGTCCATGGGTTTTATGAATCATAAAAGGGCTTTGGACGAGCTCTTCAAGAAGAATTACATGGTATCTACGCATTAAAGATATGAGACAGATGCTAACTCTTTGAAGCTTTGTCTCCCACAGAGAGTTCCAGTAGCATGCTAACGCATCCGCTGTGAGTTTGTGTTTCTCAGCTCTTTGGGATGCTGTGATGCTAACCCATAGTTTTTTAGCCTGCACCCAGCCATACCTGTGTCTCTGAGCACTCCATCTGTAGTATAACTGAATGGGCTCCAGCTTGCAACCATCCAAGAAGTTATTGTATTATTCAGTATCTCAACTCAACATTATGTTGCATTGCATGCCTATCGTGTCCAAAAATCAAGTTGTATCTTCTTCCTGCTCTCATGAGGCAGGTTTCTTGCCATCTCACTAGTCTTTCTAGAACAATGTGGGTCCAAGCAACACAATAAACCGTCACCGCTGATCCCCACACCCCAAAACAACTTTTAAAAGGCAGACTGGATCATGGAAATGGCTCAGCAGTTAAGAGCACTTGCTGCTCATCTGAGGAGCAGGGCGTGGTTTCTGCCACTTACACCACACTGAGCTACCACCTGTTAATGCTAGCTCCAGGGGACCTGACCCCTCTTCTCACCTCTGCAGAGATAGACACACGTGTGGTGAGCATGCATACATACATACATACATACATACATACATACAGATACACACATACACATATAAATGATAAAAATAACCCCCCAGACTAGGTTGGTTAAAGAGATTGAAAATAACATCCTATGGCTTAGCTTTTCTTGAGCTCAACCTAGCGGTCAAATAGCGGGTGGTGGAAGACGGCCAAGAGAGGCGCAAGGTGATGGAAGCAGAACCCTGTCATAAGCTTTCTTCCCGGAAAAGCCCAGAATGGCTTCCTGGTAAGTTCTGATCTGCCAGCGTCCTGCTGCTTTCTGAGATGGCAAAGGTGCCATCTGCACGCACTGTCTTTCTGCACATGCTCAGGAACGTAGAAGTATTTTCCACTCAAATCCTACTGATTCCAATCCCCTTTATAAATCTAAGAAAACAAGCACATCCAATTTTAAAAATTTAAATATTTTATCTATTTGTCCAGGTATGTATGCCTGTGTGGTATATATGTAAGCATGTGTATGGGGGGGTGCCTATGCACACATGCAGAGGCCAGGGGAGGACATCAGTGACCTGTTCTGCTGCCTTCTGTCTGACTCTCTGGAGACAGTGTTTCACTGCATGCCGGCGGCCAGCAAGGTCCCTTGATGCTCCTGTCTCTGTCCTCTTAGGCCCTTGGGTTTCTTCAGCAGGAACATCACCCCCTGAGTCATAATTCCTCTCCTAAGCTGGCCTCTTATCCATCCAACTATATGCAACTACTACAGGCTAGGCTCTATTGAGAGAAACTAGAAATCCAAACATGAAGACAACAGTTAGATTTCTCTAACCATCTAGAATGTCCATCAGAAAAAACCCAAGTGTGACTGCGTGTGTGTGTGTGTGTGTGAGAGAGAGAGAGACTGTGTGTGTGTGTGTGTATGACTGTGTGTGTGTGTGTGTGTGTGTGTTGTCAGTCATCCCACTGAGAGTGGGTGTGTTTGACTCCCATTCACAGCCAGACACGCTCAGTGTCCGTTACCATTGTTCCCTATCCTGCTCTCAACCCCCACCCCCCCCATCTACACTGCTGGCTACTGCAGAGACTCAAGGACATTTCATCCTTCAGTCTTCCAGTTTGGCTCCATTTCTGCAATGTGGTGTAAGGACGAGTGCTTGGCCCAGAAGCCACAGGCGCGCAGCCCTCAGCAGACCGTCTGGACCGCCCGGGACAACCGCAGAGGTGGCAGATGTCACTCTCACATTCTCACACTCCTCAGAGGACCATCTGCTCCCAAGACAGCCCCCTCTGCGTTCAAGGTCAGGTCACAGTTGCCTACAGGAGACAGCTACAGACATCAGCGAACCAACGCAGAGACCAGGAAGTTCAACAAAGTGCCCCATAATGCACTGTGCCCAAAGGCAGAAAACACAGGGAATAAAAATGCAGGGTTGCAACCTTTTCATCCCTAAGAAGTCTCTTGTTTCTTGCCCTTTCGTAAAGAATGTGTCTGTCAAAAATACAAAGCAAATTCAAACCATAAATTTAAAAAAAAGTAATTCGTTTAGCCATTTCAGATTGACTATTCACACACTAAAACATTCTAGTTTCTCTTTAGGTGATTAAAAAAAATAGAACCTCTAAAATCATGTGGTCTCTGAGCATCTTCACGAGAACTGCAGGAGACACCAGAGTCTGGGGCTGCTGCACATCTAGTCACATGCCTCACATGCATAAAGCCCTGGGTTTGACACCCAACCTTTTTAAAAAAGTGGGTGCAGTGTAATATATCTGTAACCTAGCACTTTGCAGGAGGGAGTTCCAGATCATCCTTAGACACACAGGTTGGAGGCTACCCTAAAATACATGAGAACCCTGTCTCAGAACAGAACAAAACCCCACAACAAATCACCAGAACCATGAAAACTGAACTAAAGCACAGCTCCATGGAATTGGCATCTGCCTGAACGACGTAACCAAACTAAGGGTGTCCAAAGCCCCAATTCTGAGGACACACTTTTAGACACGTGGGGCTTCAGACTTGATGTAGCTTTTGGGTGAAATTTAGAAGTGATTCTTGACCCCCGGGCTATGAGAATTTAAGCTTGAATTCTAAAGAAAATTATTAAGAAATATCTTTCAAATGTCTTGGGTGTTTTTTCAGCCAAGTTCAGACCTTCTGTAAAAGTAAGCTGTGTCTACACAGGGGTTATGTAGTTGGACTTTGCCTCCTTCTTTACCAATAAGCCAAGTCTACACAGGCAGGGGGTGGTGGTGGTGCTTATGTAGCCCTCCCGAAGTCATTAGCCTCACCTCTGCAGTCTGGGCAAGAGTGAGTTCATGGTAGAGAGACTTCTCCTCTTCAGAGACCATGCCCTTGTCATGCACCTGGATCCCATTCCTTGAAAGAAGCAAACACTGTAGTCAGATGTGATTCCAACATGACTGAGGTCACCAGAAAACCATCAGTGAGTGTCCCCACAGATCATGTGCTGAAGCCTTTGTGCCCAGCTGCTGAAGCTATTTGGGGAAATGGTGAGACCTCTAGGACCCACCTTGAGAAGCAGCTCTCTGCAGACAAGCCTTGAAGATTATCTTTCTACTCTAGCTCCATTCCTTCATAGTCCCTACTCCCCCTCCTCTCTCTCTGGCACTCCTCCTCCTTTTTCTCCCTCACTCCTTTTCCTCTTCCTCACTCCTCTGCTTCCAGTTCACCATGAGGCATGAGCAACTTTAGCCACAATGTCAACCAACAATCCCATCACCATGACATTCTGCTTCTGCCAGTCCAGAATCAACAAAACATCATGGATTGAACTTTTATATAATGAGACAAAATAAATCCTTGCTCTACCACCAACAACAAAAAAAATCACATATGAGCTGGCCATTGGTGGTGCATGCCTTTAATCCCAGCACTCGGGAGGCAGAGGCGGGTGGATCTCTGTGAGTTCGAGACCAGCCTGGTCTACAGAGCGAGTTCTAGGACAGGCTCCAAAGCTACACAGAGAAACCCTGTCTCGAACCCCCCCAAAAGTCACATATGATACAGAGATAAGAAACAATCTCTATCCTACATGAGCTACAGACTAGTGACTCTACATAGCCACAAACGTGTCATACTTGGAAAGGAGAGAGGAGGAAGGGGAAGGAGGGGAAGGGAGAGGAGGGAAGGAGGGGAAGGGAGAGGAGGGAAAGGAAGGTAAGGATATTGGAACAACAGTTTAAAAAAAAGACCCAAGAATGTTTCCTTTAAATGAAAATTCTACTGGAAACCTAGATTTCTGTTTTCTCCCCAGATCAGGAGCTACGGGCCCAGTCTTGACTTAGCAATCAGCTGGAGACTGGTTGAGGAGCCTCTACCACCCCTAACTGAGGAGAATGCTTTCCTCACTACCACTGAGGTGCCGCTGGTATGTGAGTGCATCTCATTGCTCCACTCGCTCCTGAGAAGATTGTGTCCCCCGAGACAGAGGGAAGGACAGTGCGCCGTGCTCACACCCAGGCCACGTGCAAAGAGAGCTCACTCTAGATGACACGATTCCTGAGGACAAAGGACTCAGGCCCCTTCTAGAAAGACGCCAGACTTAACGGCCCCTCTGGAGATAGAGGGGGCAGTTCGGAAGTCGGTGCTAGGACCCAGCCCTGACCGCACTCTGATCTCAGACTTCCAGGCTCTGGAACCTCTGGGGGAGAAGACACCAGTCCCTGGGTGTTTGGCTACATTGGCTTCACCCAACTGAGACGGGGAGGGTCACAAAAGACTCTCCTGGTGGAGAAAGGTACAGGCAAAACCACGTGCTAGGCAGCGATGGCACATAAACCCTGCCCACAGCTCTGTGGACCAGCCACCGCCAGCTGAGGCTCAGAAGGAACGTGGGGGGGGGCGGGGTCTCTCTACTCACACAATGAGTTTGTGCTGCAAGAGCTGCAATTCCTGGGTCAGGTTGTTCTTATCTTCTCGCAAATTCTGGAACCACACATACACACGGAGTAGGTAAGGACCAGGCTAGAGAAAAACTCCGATAGCAAGCCCGCGTTGTGAGCTGTGAGGTTGTACCATACCTCGGTAATGCTTCTGTATTCCATGATGGTTGACTCAAGTTCTTCTATGCATAAATCCTTCTGACAGGAATAGTGGAATAATCACAACAAATCGTATTTATTATAGTACAAGTGTGACCCACAGTAGAACTATACATACCCAACCAAGGGATAGATCTTTTTCGAATCTCAATATTTGACAGCTGAACAAGTCATTGTGATTAAAAATACGTGAGAAACTTGGACGTGGTAGCACACACCTTTAATCCCAACACTTAGGAAGCAGAGGAGGGTGAAATCTGTGAGTTCTGGGGCAGCCTGGTCTATATAGTGAAACCTTGTCTCAAGTAAGTAAACAAACAGAAACCACACAAGGAGTCTGATCCATTGGAATCAAACCCTAAAACTGATTGTCCAAACAAAAATTATAATAATCACCATGATCTATATAATCTTCACTTGTTTGTTGTTTTGAGATAGGGTTTCACTATGCAACCTTGGCTGGCCTAGAACTCATGATGTAGACCTGGCTGGCTGACTGCCTCTGCCTCCAGAGTGTTGGGGTTAAAGGCGTGTGCTGTCACACCTGGTAGATCATCTTTACTTTCAGCCAACAACTTAGAAGGATCTCCAACTTTGTTCAAACAGTGCTTCTATGAAAATCATTGTGGGTGGATGGAGACAGACTCTGGCCAAGAAACACCTGCTCCAGGGATCCAATACCCTCTTTCTGGCTTCTTTTTTTAAATTACTGTTTTGTACAAGACCAGCAGGTATGAGCAATGAGTAGCTGATCATAGTTTTATCCCACAACTGACAGAGTGAGGCAGGTGCCCTGTCACCATCTAATGGGAGCAGAGTAGGGGTACAGGAGAGTGGAAAGGCCTGGGGGAGCCGAGGGGGGCACAGTCACAGTGTCACTGTAGCCAGGGGCCACTCTCAACGCAGAGACTGAGGTTTACAGTGCTCAGTACCCCAGCCACGAGTGACCAACATCTCCTTTGAAGACTTCTAGTGTGGGGGAACGTTTCTCTCTCTTCTGTCTTCCACTGCAAGTGCTCAATTCACTTACACAGTCTTCTCCCTGGGTCTCTGGAGGCCACTGCAACCACCATTTCTAAAGCCAGAGCAGTTTGCTACCAAGGTGGCTGTGGTCACTGGCTGTGAGGATAAGCTTCTGTCTTTATAACCAACAATTAGCCATATAGGGAAACAAATCATTGGGGACATGTTCTTCCTCACCCCTATGGTGAAGGGCTGCACATTGGTTTGCATTGCTGTAACCAAAATAGCGTCAGCAATAGCTAATGGCAAACATTCCCACGGCTCAGGGTTTGATCAGAGTTATTCCAAGCATAAGACACCCTGTTTCTCTACTCAGAAAAGCTTTTCCCACCCCCCCCAATGTGTTAAGGACCATTGTATGCCGGGCTAATTGCATCAAATCTTTGAATAGGGTCATTACGCAAATTGCCATTTCCTTCAGGGTTTGGACAGAGTCAGCCATCTCTGAAGGATTCCCAGCCTTGAGGAGAGGACCTACCTTTTGCAAACTTGCATCTTTAGTAAGCAGCATGTCCTCACACATCTGCAGCTGCATCTGGAAAGACAACTGGGTGAAGCCACTAGGGTGTGGCTTTCAAAAGCAAAACAAAACAAAGCAAAACACCCACAGCCTCCTCCCAACAAGGGCAGTTTCCAAACAGCCTTTAACATTACAGGCAGCTGAACTATGTGCCCCTTAAGTTGGCTCCAGAATATGGACTGAGAGAAATTGCCTTGTCTGTGACTCGGACATCTTGAAGCACCTACACTTTAGAATCGGGAGCTGTGGCTGTAGTGTTGTAAGTTTCACACACCTTCTAGAATATTGACTTGACCCAAGAAAATATCTGGGGGCATTGGGAGACGCTTACTTGACACTCTTTCTTGGTTTCAGATAATTCCTCTATCTTCTTTTCCAGAGAGTCTATGTCAATGACATTCTTAACATTCTAGTACAAAAAGAGTTTTTTAGATTTAATCTCCCCCCTACAAAAAACAACCAACCAAACAATCAAACAACCAACAAAAACCCAAAATCCAGAAGTGAGCCTGACAATACAAGTTCCATCCCTGTAGCCCATGTGGTTGAAAGAGAGAACTGAGAACTGTCTAAAAATCTCAATTTTTGCCATGGGTGCTTGAAGTAGTAAGGTGTTTCTGTTTGGATAAGGAGACTGCATCTTCCATTCATCACCTATAATTTGAGAAACTGCCCTGTAGTTTGATGTGGAGGGGCCCGGAAAACCATGCCTTTTACTGGGAATTGTTTTTGACAGACCTCTTCCTGGAGAGCCCGGATCTTAAGAATCAGAATCCTGACTTCTGCCTCCTAGAAAATGTTAAAATTAGGAATATTATTAAAGTTATACAGAGTTAGCTTCCAAGGCTACTGTGCTGGTGAGCTTTTCCTTTGTTAGTATTCTGGTGTTCCCATCACAACTGACACACTCTGAAAATATTTTCTATCCATCTCTGCACACATCCTCCATCCACCCACTTACTCCTTCATCTACCCAACCATTCATCCACCCACCCACCCACCCAACTGTAACGTTTAGTCTTCCTGCCCACCGCCTGGTTCCTGTTGCTGCTTTCAGCCCCCAAATAGCACACAGGACACTATAATAATTATGAAGCTGTTGGCCGTTTGCTTTGTTTCTTATAGGCTAGCTCTGATTTGATTATTAATCCATAATTACTAATATATTATATAAGAACTTATCTTTTTGAGGATGTACTCCCGAGCACCCGTTGCTCCTGGGAGATCACACGGTGAGAGCTCTCCTAACTACAATTCCCAGAATCCTCCTAGACTCCTAGACCTACCTATCTTGTTTCCCTATTGGCCAACAGTGCTTTATTCAAACCAATCAGACACATATTTACAGAATGACATCTCCCAACACCCAACCATCCATCTACCCACCCACCCATCCATCCATCCATCCATCCATCCATGCATCCATCCACCCACCCACCCACCCACCCACCCACCCACCCATTCACCTCCATCCACCTATCCACCCATCCACCCATCCACCCATCCACCTCCATCCACCCATCCATCCATCCACCCATCCACCCATCCACCCATCCACCTCCATCCACCCATCCACCCATCCATCCATCCACCCATCCACCCATCCACCCACCCACTCACCCACCCATCCATCCACCCACCCACCCACCCATCCATCCACCCACCCACCCACCCACCCATCCATCCATCCATCCATCCATCCATCCACCCATCCACCCGTCCATTTGGGGTCTTAGTCTACAGCCCACACTTGCTTTGAATTTGCCATCCAGACCTCATCACTCTAGTAAAATGTTAAATACATGTAGAGGCAGCTGTGGTGACTTCTAGGTCCATCTCATAGAATGTCTATGATCACTAATGAAATAAGGTACTAAATATGCTCTTGAGATAATAAAACAACATAAAATGCAGAGCTGAAATTCTATGTCTAGGACACTGGACATCTGGCAGGACAGTCGATAGTTTTTTGTCCTCCTTGGGGGTGGCTGCCACCTGCATTTCACCCAGGAAAGCTAGACTGGTTCCCTTGAAGCGAGGGTGTGTACACAGTCAGCGACTCCCCAGGGCAGCTCTTGTCATGTCTCCTTGAAGGGGAAAAGTAAAATGACAAGCTGTAACGTTCATTATTAATGAGCTTACTCAGAAAATATTCAGTTACATAGAAATAAGGAGCTAATCCAAAGGGCTCTGTGCCTCAGTAGTTTCCCAAGCATGACCTGAAGACAGGCGGCTTACTGGTAGGTTTGTCCGGACAGTTTAGAGAGAGAAAGGGAACAGGACTTCTGACGTCATCAGAATTTAAATCTGTTGAGCCAGGACCTTTAGCACCTGCTCAGAAGGGTCATTCCTCATGTTCTCCCTTGTCAAATGCATTAAATGTCTAACGGCCTCAAATGGCCTTTCTAACTGAGCAATCCCTGGAGTTTGAAGACGACTGAAACTGCGTGCCTCCGTGAACTCACTTCTCTGCTCAGAAAACAGAAGTCACCCGCAGACGAAAGCGTGTGTGAACCTGTCAGAGATTCTGGCTGTGGCTGGTCCCCTTGAGCATTAGCTAGGACGAGTCGCCAGCTATCAAAGAGTCCCCCTTTTGTCTCCCAGGGCTTTGACTGACTTCTTGGCTGGCAGAGAGTACTCACCCCACCGCACCACGGTCGGGCCCCTCTCAGAGGCCTCAGGGCCTTCTCTGGAATGCTTTTGCGCACAGAGAGAGAGAGAGAGAGAGAGAGAGAGAGAGAGAGAGAGAGAGAGAGAGAGAGAGAGAGAGAGAGAGAGAGAGAGAGAGGGAGAGTGTCCACCACAGAGGACCTGGTACCTCTCTACATCTGCCACAGGCAGGTGTGAAGCCCGAGGACTGCTGGTTTCGGACAGTCACAAATGACCGACCCTGGAAAGTGAGGGCCGCCATGACTCACAGAGAGTGACAGATCTGGGTGACTCTCGCCAGCACCCCACCCCCCCTCTGCTGCTAGCAAGGCTGGAGTTCAGAGTCTGTACAACTACTGTAGACATCCTTGGGACAAGACGACCTCTCCGGCTTTGGGCAGAGGCTTAGGTCAAATGGCTTTTTGCTCTGAAACTGCTGCCTGGCTCATTTCCTGCGGCCCCGGGAAGATGCCAAGTGACCTGTAATGCACCCAGAAGACTGACAATTTCTTTTTTTTTTTTTTAAATTCAACTACCAACTTTTGGAAATAATCCAGGAATTTCTAGGTTTCCACAGACCAGCGTGTACAGGCGGAGACATCTATGAAGAATTTGTTGGCTTTTGAAACAGAGTATCATATAGTCCAGGCTGGCTTTGAACTCACTGTATAGCTAGGGATTATCCTGAGCCTCTAACATGCCAGTCACAACCTCCTAAGTGTTGGGATTATAGGCATGAGCCAACACTGGATAAGAATGCTAATCTTGGAGAGAAAAACAACTTTTTTCCACATTTATTTGTGTGCCTGCATGCTAAAGTGTGTGTGTGTGTGTGCGTGTGCGTGTGTGTGTGTGTGTGTGTGCTTATGTGAGTGTGTGTGCATGCACGCCTGCGAGCACTTGCAAGAACACAGTTTGGGGAACAGGACCAGGGTTCTGCATGGTAGGCAAGCACCTGTGTCTCAGCCACGAGTCCCCCGTGCTCCCCTTGCCCCATCTGAAGACTTACTAACTGCTTGTTCTGGGCCAAGGCCATGGTCTTCTGCTCCTCTGAAGCTGCCATGGTCACCTTCAGGTCCTCCAGCTCCTCCTTTAAAAGACTCTCCCTCCTGACGGCTTGCTGGGCACTGTGCGGGTGAGGACAGCCGTGAGCAAAACTCAAGGTAACCGTCGGGGGTTCGAAGGCAAGCCAGGACTATTTCTGGACCCAAGCTGAAAAACCACAAAAAGCCGAAACCAGGTGCCCAAGATAATAACAATAATAAAATACCACACCCACTTAATTCAGGGGCTTAGAAAACAAAAAGAATTGGAGGGGGTGTGCCGGGGAGGGGAACAGAGGGAAAGCCCCACCTCACGATCTGGAGGGGAGAGGGGAAAGTGGATTTTTTAATATACAGAGAGAACAAAGTTCTGGGGGCTGTATTTAGGAGGAATTCAGGGGAGGAATAGAGAGTGAATATGACCAAAATACACTGTATGGGTGTATGAAATCTTAAAAAATTATTAAAAATATGTTAAAATAAAAATGTGGTTTTTTTTTATTTAAAGGACTTAGAATCTCAAGTCAATGAAACGGCTCAGAAGGTAAAAAAAAACACATACCATGACACATTCCTGCACACACACACACACACACACACACACACACACACCGCACACACACACACACACAGATTTTTTTTGTAGTGGTTCTCAATCTTCCTGATGTTGCATCCCTTTAACACAATTCCTCAACTTGTGATGATGCCCAATAATAAAATTATTTTGTTGCTGCTTCATAACTATAATTTTGCTGTCGTGAATTGTAATGTAAATATTTGATATACAACCCCTGCGGAAGGGCCCTTAGCCCCACGGTTGAGATCAGCTGGTTTGCAGTCTCCTGAGAGGCTATCATTGTCTGGATGACATGTTCCTTCCCTGCTACTAGGTAACGTGCCAGTGTGATCCTCCAGATATTCAAATAGTTCCCCGTATGGGGGCTGCGACAGACTCCCAGAGAGACACACACATGTCTGTCCTCGGAGTTTATGAAGCAGTGTCGGAGGGAAAGTACTAGTTTCCGAATGACGTATTTGGTAAAGAGATCTATTGCAGTATTTGAGAATATCTAAGCCCTGGGAATAGTCTCAACAGCCATCGAGGGGAAGCTGGGGCAGTATGCTCTGATCACCCGTGTCTAGGTGTGGACTCTTGTTGTTTAACTGCTCAGAGGGGCTCACGGGTCCGTTTTCTTTTTCTTGCTGAGGACTTGGACTGACCGTTAGACAAGTACAGGCTGGGTGGGCCCCACCTCCATGCAGTGTGACCCCGGGCCTTTAAAGGGGTAAGGGGGGGGGGCTGCAAAGAAGGCTGTGGCATACTCTCCAGGTGGACCAGCTCACAGCCATCTGCAGCTCCAGTTCCGGGAGACTGGTGACCTCTTCTGGCCTCTTTGAGCACTGCATGCAAATGGTGTGTGTGTGTGTGTGTGTGTGTGTGTGTGTCTGTCTGTCTGTCTGTCTGTCTGTCTGCTTCGTGTATGTGTGTGTCTGTCTGTCTGTCTGTCTGCCTCACACACACCAATAATACTATTAAAGAAAGAAATAAAAAAGAAAAATGGTATTAAATTTTAAAACAAGACTCCATGCTAAACTAACCCAGGACGTTGCAGGCTGTGGTCCTAGTAGCTCGGACCTATTTCCCTCTCTGTGGACATCGATTCTGTACGAAGCTCCTCACTCCTTCCCTGATGACTGGTTCCTGTGGTTGTGCTCACAGCTCGGGAGCCCTGCCCAGGGGTCTGTGGTTCTTTAGTCTTTCTTTCACTTGAGGTAAAGCTCACTCTCTCTCTAGCACACAGGCCCCTGGACGGCATGTTTCTGACAACAGTCCCCAGCACAACTGCCGTTGTTTTCAGTGGGGGGCTTTGCACAGAGTGGGGACTCGCCTGGCCTTTGGTCTGCTCTTAGACCATGGACACGTGCATCTCGGGCACACTGGCTTGTATGAGACAGAGAGCTCACAAGCGTGTGGGGCAGGGGTGTAAGGCGGCTCATTTCCTGCTAAGTGCAGGTTACTCTGTGACACAGAAATCCCACGCTAGACCTACACCTGCAAGAACTGAAAACATTTAAAGCTTTCAGTATAAAAGTGCATGTAAAACCATTAAACAAACGCTCACTACAGAGTTACTCATGCTAAACAGGAAGCACAAATAACCAAGTCCAATACTTGAAGAATAGATAAAGAGAATGCCGTACATGCAAACAGTGGAGTAACACTCAGCCATAAAAAGGAATGGAGTGGTGATGTGTCTGCTACAGTGTGGACAAACCTTTAAAGCATGACGCTAAGTTAAAGAGGACAGGCACAACAGGCCACGGATTGTTACGATTCCATTGACACAAATGTGCAAAATGTTAGTGGTTGCCAGGGCATTTGAGAAGGTGGGAGACAATAAGGGGGGGCTGGGAGAGGGGGACGGAGTAAGGGGACCTGGGAGAGGGGGACGGAGTAAGGGGATGGAGTAAGGGGACCTGGGAGAGGGGGACGGAGTAAGGGGGGCCTGGGAGAAGGGGGACAGAGTAAGGGGACGGAGAAAGGGGACCTTGGAGAAGGGGACAGAGTAAGGGGACAGCGTAAGGGGTCACTGCTGAAAGTCATTGAGTCTCTGCCCATCATGATGGGAATGAATTAGGTAACAGTGGCGACTGTACAACCTCATCAACAACACACGAACAGCCCGGGGTAGATAGTGGCGGTATCTGCACAACCCTGTTAACACACGAACAGCCTGGCTTCAGAGACCCCATAAGCGTGGACTCCATGTGATACGAATTATGTGATGTTTAAGGGCTTATGAAACAGAGCAAAAGTGAAATCCCAGGATGCCCTGGGACACAGAGGCTCGCCTGCTCATCTGGAGGTGCAGGCTGGTACAGTCCTCTGCCAGCTGCCTGTTGGCTTCCTCCATGGCTTCTAACGCCAGTCTACAGGTAGCGTTCTCCTCCTCCAGCTTCTGCTTGCTGGCGTGCAGGTCCGAGACACACGTGATCAAATCGGACATCTCCCTGGAGCGAGAGGAGGTGTGTGGATGGCCCTCAGCGCCTCTTCCGTTCTTTCTAAGCAAAGCCAGGCAAGGGCTTAACCCCAACTGGGATACGTGCTCTTGGCCGCACATCTTTCCCTCCTCGGTACCGTAAGGTTCTGTACACAATGAATATTTACTATCATAGTCTCACAGATTCTCCTGACGGACATGGAGGCATGTGGCTGTGTCCCCAACACTCAGGATAAGAAGGTTAAAGCCATCCTCAGCTACACACACACTCTCAGATTCATGCCAGCCTGAGTTATGGAAGACCCTGTCGCAAAAATCCATCCACACATATTTGTATTTGCACATATTACATATGTGTGTGCATGCCTGTGCATATAGAGTCGCATATGCTATCTCCCAGAGACCCACAATCAACTTAATAACTTGATTTTGAGCAGAGCTTGTTACAGATAACCCCAGACGTCCACCTTGGAGATATTTTCCATGACTAAGTAAACAGCTATTTTAGATTATCAATCTTACACGAGTTTCTGTTCCCAGTGTAACCGGTTCTAACACAGGAGGTGGAGAATTAAATATTTAAAGCCATCTATGTTGGTTCTTCCACAAACAAATAGTAGCATGTAATTAATACTAGGGGCTGGGAAGCAAACAGGAAAAGACAGGGAGGAGGGGAGGTGGCCACAGGCAGCCGAGGACACTCAAAAGACCCGCTTGGACAGGTCCCCGGGACAGACCTCAAAGCCACACAGGCCACCGGGGAGACGCAAGAGAAAGGTTTAGGAAGGACTCACTTCCTCCACGCCCTGCAATCGTGGTGCAGCTCGCTCCCTGGCCCGTCTGGCCCCACGTCTTCCTGTGGCTCAAACACAGAGTCATCCCAGCTGCCACTCCATCGGCTCCTTGTTCCTTCCCTGAAGCCAAAAGGCGAAGACAGCAGTCCAGACCTTGTCGGACCACAGTGCAGTTCAGCTTTTCCGAATGTGCTCTCCTCGCCCCCGTTTGAGTTTAAAGCAACTGTGGGTTGGGAGATGGCTCAGTGGCAGCTGGCCTGGCTGGCAAGTGTGGACAATGAAGTCAGACTCACGCCAGGTGACGTGGTGGCCGCCTGGAATCCCTGTGTGCAGGACACAGAGACAGGAAGGTACCCAGGGCGAGCTGCCTAGGTAGGTTACTCAAACCATTGAGGTCTGCACCAGGCTTTTTCCTTTAGGTCATCAACCAGATTCCAAATCATGACACAGAGACTTATTGTTAGTTTTGAATGCTTGGCCTACTTTAGGCTCGTTTCTGGCTAGCTCTTTTAAATTAAATTAACCTGTTTCTCTTTATCTACTTTTTACCTTGAGGATTTTAACCTTTTCTTACTTTCTTGCTGTTTCTACGTCTGACTGGTGGACAGTTGCCTGGCTTCTGGCCCCCTGGCATCTCCCTCATTCTCTCCTCCTCCTCCACCTCTTCCTCCTCGTCGTCGTCCTCCTCCTCCTCTTGTCTTTCTTCTCTCAGACCTAGACTCCTCCTCCTATTTTATTCTCCCTGCCTGCTAGTCTCTCATATTCCTCTTCTGCCTAGCTACTGGCCATTCAGCTCTTTATTAAACCAATCAGGTGCCTTAGGCAGGCAAGGTGAAACAGATGCAACATATTGCTACATAATTAGACACACATCCTTACACTTAAACAAATGAAGTATAAACAAAAGTAACAGTTAAGGTGGTATTCTGCAGCATAAACAAATGCAACACATCTTTGCCCAGCTAAAATAATATTTCCACAACAGAGGTCCAGGTTCAGACAAAGACCCTACCCTCAACAAATGAAGTGGAAAATGGAGAAAGACATGCAATATCAACACACACACACACACACACACACACACGGACACACACACGTGACACACACATGGATGAACACACACACACACACACGGGCACATGGACACATGCTTGCACACACATGAACAAAATTTAACTGAATGAAAGCATATGGTTAGTTATTTTCCTTCAATGTATATTACCTGCTCAAAGATACTGCTTGTATTATTGTCATTTGGTTGTTTTGCTTCATAAGAAGGATTCTTACTATTCCTGAAGCTTGCTACATAAACCACACAGACCTCAAAACTGTATTATTCCTGCAGACTCTGCACCCTGCTGCCATTACAGGAATCGGCCACTGTACTTCAAAGATATTACACATTTTTAAGGGCTTTAACTGTGTTCTTAAATTGCTCTTTAAAAAACTGAGCCATCTTGCTCTTCTACCCGTCTGGTTATTTGCCCATCCCTCAACACTGGATGGTGTCACTCTACTTAAACTCTGTCATTAAGGGCCAGGGAGCCAGCTCAGTGGGTGAGGAAGCCTGAGGGCCCGAGTTTGATCCCAGGACCACACGGTGAAGGAGAGAATAAGTTTCTTCAAGGCATCCTCTGACCTCCACAAGCACCCACACGCATGCCAATAGTGCAATTTAAAGTTGTAAGCATTGTGAAACAAATGACAAAATGGTATGCTGCTCTATTTCCATTCCTTTCTTTTTCAAAATGTAATTTGTTTACGTGTGTTGGGGGCACATGCGTGCAGGTGTGCAAATGGGCGTGTGGAGACTAGCAGACACTAAGTGTCCAGCTTCGTCACCTGTATCTCATTCATTTGAGACAGTACCGCTCACCAACCCCGGAGCTAGGCTGCTGACTAGCTAGACCCAACCATCCTCCTGTCTCCACACCATACAGTGCGAGGGTTACAGGCCTGTTCAGCCACACCCGGCTTTTTTCATGAGTGGTGGCCCTTATCTTGCGAAGCGAGCACCCTCATCCCCGGGCATCTCCCCAGTTCTGTTTTCTGTATTTCTCATTACTTGTAAGATTGTGTGTTTTGTGTATTTATATTGCTCCCCACGTTGGGCAAGCAACACTGTTATCTGTATATCTTTATCAGCCCTGTTAGCACAGAATCTAAGTTCCTGCTGGAGTTCGCACAGGCTGGAGATGTTCTAGTTAGTGTTAGGGCTCCCCTTGGCTCTCACAGCGGCTCAATTCCCCGAGAACGGTGTTGTCTTTTAAGCCATGCCGCCCCAGACACGCAACATCTTCTCTGATCTTGGAAGATAAGCAGGGTCACACCTACTTGGATGAGAGAGCAACATCCCTGTCTCCATCACAACACCAACACATTATCAGAACCAACCCGGGGAGTGGCCTCACAGGTACCCACCTCCTCAGCAGCCACAGTACAGAATGCACACCAGCAGGCTTCACCACAGACCTGCTGGTGATGGGGCTCAGCTATAGGGCAACATCTTTCAGGAGGTCTTGGGGTGCCGGATAGAGAGGGGCACCTACAACAGCATTTCCACTAGTACGAAGTATGGGACCAAATTGATGGGTGATGCGGGCCGTGCCCTGGGGTGGACATAGGCCGTGTCCTGGGATGTGGACCTCGGCTCACCTCCTGCTCCTAGAGTGAGCTACCCACTCCTTCACAATGCCCTGGAAGGTGTCCAGGTCCACACGTGGGTTTGTATTTTCGGGATCAAGCATGGTCCCCAGCGCTTCAAGGTCACCGTCTTCAGAGTCTTGGCCAGCGGTTCGTCTCAGGTAAGCCATGATTCTGTCCACTCCCACTGCACCTTGTGGGGGGAGAACAGAAAATTACCTTCAGAACATGTTGTTTTGAGACAGGTTCTAATGTACCCTGGGCCAGCCTCAAACTTCCTACATAACCAAGGACGACCTTAAATTTCTGATCCTTCTGCTGCACCGTCTTGAGGGATGGGACTACAGGTGTGATGTGGGGGCTTTGCACGTCCGAGGCAACAGGACGGCATCCTGAGTTTGGAAGACATTTCAAACTCAGTTTTATGTACTTTGCGTGTGTAAACTGGAGCGCATGTGTGCGTGTAGAGGTCAAAGGGCAGCTTGTAAACGCCAATTCTCGACCTCCATACGCAAGTTCTGGGGGATTGAACTCAGGCTGTCAGGCTTGGTGGTGGCTGCCTTTACCCTTTGAGCTGTCCCACTGGCCTGAAACACACGCATCTTTGGTGAATGAACTGCTGATATTTTAGGTTCTAAAAATAACTCATATTATGCTTGCTGTCCTGTCAAGCTGGCATGGGGCAGGGCTTGGGTAGACTTCTACCAAGTGGTAAAAGAAGCACATGGACTCCTGCAAATTATCCTCTAATCCCTATGTACACACACTCTCTCACACACACACAAACACACACACATATACACGCTCACACACACACACACACCACACCACCACCAACAACAATGAAGATAACTAAATGTAATAAAAATCTAAAAATAGGTACCTCCCCCCCCAGCCAGAGCCTACACACCCCAGTTTCCTGGTCTTCTTCTCACCCATGGGACCAGGCAATTCGGGGCCTGTTTCTAGGCCTGTGTTTCAGTGCCGGGAGACTGCCACTGAGTCTCCCCTCTCGGTGGGAGCCTACATCCCAGATTCCTCATCTTCATCTCCACCCACGGGACCAGGTAAACCAGGCCCTGTATCTGGGTCTGACTCCCAGTACCTGAGGACTGCCTGGGGACTGCCACTGAGGCTCCCTTCTCTGTGGGAGCCTATGCACCCCAGTTTCCTGGTCTCCTCCTCTACCCACGAGACCAGGTAATTCAGGGCCTGTTTCTGCCTCCCCCCCGTTCCAGTGTCTGGAGACTGCCATTGAGTGTTCCCTCCTGGCGGGAACCTAAGCAACCCAGATTCCTGGTCTTCTTCTCCACCCATGGGACCAGGGCTAGGACCAGGAAGAGGAGAACTACCATAGTAGTGGACTTGCTTGCACCCACTGAAAGCAAACTCTGGTTCCTTAACCACCAGACCAGGAAGAGGTTCTTTCTGCACCCACTAGAAGAAGGGATGGGAAAGAGACAATACAAAAACACACTCAGCAACAGAAAAACAAATGACACCACCAGTTTCTAGAGACTCAACACCAGCAAGACTCCAACATTCCAATGCGAAATAAGCAGAAGAGAATGTCCTTTAAAACAACTTCATGAAAATGATAGAGGCCCTCAAAGAGGATATGGGAAAATCCCTTAAAGAAATAGAAGGGGAAAAAAACCCAAAAAAATCCAAAAAATGCAATAAATGGAGGAAAAGACAAAGCAAAAATTGCAAGAAACAATTCAAACAGTGCAAGGGTTGAAAACTGAAATAGAGACAATAACAAAAAAAAAAACAGTCTGAAGGAATGCTGGAAATAGAAAAGCTGGGCAAACAGTCAGGTACTACAGATGCAAGCATAACCAACAGAATACAAGAGATGGAAGACATGCCAATGAAGGTACAAGAATCTTACAGAACACCAAATAGAGTGGACCACAAAAAAGTCCTCTTGCCACATAGTAATCAAGACCCAAAACATACAGAATAAAGAAAGAATATTAAGAGCAGCTAAGAAAAAAGGTCAAGTAACATATAAAGCCAAACCTATCAGAATTACACGTGACTTCTCCATGGAAACCCTGATAGATATTCTACCAACACTAAGAAACCACACATGCCAGCCCAGACTACTATACCCAGCAAAACTTTCATCACTGTATGTGGAGAAAGCAAGATATTCCATGACAAAACCAGATTCAAACAATACATATCCACTAACCCAGCCGTACAGAAAATTCTGGAAGGAAAACTTCAACCCAAGGAAGTTAACTATGACCAGAAAAACATATGCAATAGATAATCCCACCTTACCAACAGCCAAAAGAAAAAAGGGGTGGAAATCCACATATAATTCCAACAACAACAACAATCTCAAAACAAACAAGAATGAGCAATCAATGGTCATTAATATCCCTCAACATTAATGGTCTTAACTTGCCCATAAGAAGACACAGGCTAACAGAATAGATTTGAAGACAGAACCCATCCTTCTGCTGCATACAAGAAATACACCTCAGCCTCAAAGACAGATATTACCTCAGAGTTAAGGGTTTGGAAAAGATTTTCCAATCAAATGGACCCAAGAAACAAGTGAGGGTAGCATTCCTAATATCTAACAAATTAGAATTTAAAATAAAATCAATCAAAAGAGATGAGGGAGGTCATTTCATACTCATCACAGGAGAAATCCACCAAGATGAAGTTTCAATTCTGAACATCTATTCCCCAAATACAAAGGCATCCACATTCGTAAAAGAAACATTACTAAAACTCAAATCACACATAAAGCCCCATACACTTATAGTGGGAGACCACACTCTCACCACTAGACAGTACTACCAGACAGAAACTTAACAAAGAAGCAAAGGAACTAATAGAAGTTATGACCCAATTAGGATTAACAGACATCTATAGAACATTCCGTCCAAATAAAAAAGAATATACATTCTCGGCGCCACATGGAACCTTCTCAAAAATCGACCACATACTTGGCAACATATAAAACCTCAACAGGTACAAAAAATTAGAATAACTCCATGCATCTTATCAGATCAACACGCATTAAAATTAGAATTCAACAACAACACAAATTTGCAGAAACCTTACAAACTCATGGAAATTGAATAATGTGCAAATGCACCATTGCTGGGTCAAAGAAGAAATAAAAAAAGTTAAAGACTTCCTAGAATTCAATAAGAATGAAGACACAACATACCCAAACTTATGGGACACTTTGAAAGCAGTGCTAAGAGAGAAGTTCATAGCACGAAGTGCCCACATGAAGAAACTGGAGGATAATTACACTAGAGCATTAACAGCATAGCTGAAAGCTCTAGAACACAAAGAAACAAATCACCCAGGAGGAGTAGATGCCAGGAAATAATCAAATTGGGGGCTGAAATCAATAAAGTAGGAACTAGGGAAAACAATACAAAGAATCAATGTAACAAAGAGTTGGTTCTTTGAGAAAATCAAACAAGATAGACAAACCTTTTATCCAAACTTATGAAATGGCAGAGTATGAATACGCAAATTAACAAAATCAGAAATGAAAAGGAGCACATAACAATGGACACTTAGGAAATCCAGAGAATCATCAGGTCATACTTTGAAAACCTGTATTCCACAAAATTTGAAAATTTAAAGGAAATGGACAATTTTCTGGATAGCTATCACTTGTCAAAATTAAATCAAGAATAGATAAGCAATTTAAATAGGCCTATGACCCCTAATGAAATAGAAGCAGTCATCAAAAGTCTATCACCCAAAAAAAAGCTCAGGTACAGATGGCCTCAGTACAGAATTCTACCAGAAATTCAAAGAACAGCTTATACCAGTTCTTCTCAAAGTATTCCACACAATAGAAGCAGAAGGGTCTTTGCCAAACTCTTTTTACGAGGCTTCGATAACCTTGATACCCAAGCCACATAAAGACACAACTAAGGAGAAGAACATCAGACCAATATCCTTCATGAACACTGATGCAAAAATACTCAATAAAGTACTGGCAAATCGGATCCAAGAACACATCCAAACACCAAATTGGATCCAAGAACACATTCACCACAACCAAGGAGGTTTCATACCAGGGATGCAGGGATGGTTCAACATACGAAAATTCATCAATGTAATCTGCCATATAAACAAGCTGAGAGACAAAAATCACATGATCATCTCACTAGATGCTGAAAAAGTCTTTGACAAAATGCAACACCCCTTCATGATAAAGGTCTTGGAGAGATCCTGGATAACAGGAACATACCTAAACATAATAAAAGCTATATACAGCAAACCAACAGCCAACATCAAACTAAATGGAAGAAACGCAACACAATTCCTCTAAAATCAGGAACAAGACAAGGCTGTCCACTCTTTCCATACCTCTTCAATATTGTACTTGAAGTTCTAGCTAGAGCAATAAGACAACAAAAGGAGATCAAGGGGATACAAATTGGAAAGGAAGAGGTCAAACTTTCACTATTTGCAGATGATATAATAGCTTACATGAGTGACCAAAAAAACTATTCAAGGGAACTTTTACAGCTGATAAATACTTTCAGCAAAGTGGCAGGATACAAGATCAACTCAAGAAAATCAGTAGCCCTACTATATAGACCATAAAAGAAAGAAATCAGAGAAACATCACCCTTTACAATTGCCACAAACAACATAAAATACCTTGGGGTTATGCTAACCAAACAAGTGAAAGACCTGTATTGCAAGAACTTTGAGTCTTTAAAGAAACAAATTAAAGAAGACACCAGAAAATGGAAAGATCTGCCATGCTCTTGGATAGGTAGGATCAATGTAGTAAAAATGGCAATCCTGCCAAAAGTAATATACAGATTCAATACAATCCCCATTAAAATCCCAGCACAATTCTTCACAGATCTTGAAAGAACATTAACTAACTTTACATGGAAAAACAAAAGACCCAGGATAGCCAAAACAACCCTGTTCAACAAAGCAATGTCTAGAGACATCACCATCCCTGATTTCAAGCTTTATTATTGAGCTATAGTCCTGAAAACAGCTTGGTATTGGCACAAAAACAGACAGGTAGACCAATGGAATCGATTGAATACCCTGATATTAACCCATACATGTACAAACATCTGATCTTTGACAAAGAAGCTAAAAATATACAATAGAAAAAAAGAAAGCATCTTCACCAAATGGTGCTGGCATAACTGGATGCTGGTGTAGAAGAATAGAAGAATGCAGATAGATCCATGTCTTTCACCATGCACAACACTTAAGTCCAAATGGATCAAAGACCTCAACATAAATCCAGCCACACTGAACCTCTTAGAAGAGAAAGTGGGAGGTACCCTTGAACGAATTGGTACAGACATAACACCAGTAGCACAGACACTGAGGTCAACAATTAATAAATGGGACCTCCTGAAACTGAGAAGCTTCTGTAAGGCAAAGGACACAGTCAGCAAGACAAAAAGGCAGCCCACAGAATGGGAAAAGATATTCACTAACCCCACATCTGACAGAGGGCTGATCTCTAAAATTTACAAAGAACCTAAGAAGCAAGTCTCCAAAACACCAAAGGATACAATTAAAAAGTGGGCTACAGAACTAAATAGAAAATTCTCAACAGAGGTGTCTAAAATGGCCGAGAGGCACTTAAGAAAGTGCTCAATATCCCTAGCCATTAGGGAAATGCAAATCAATACAGCTCTGAGATACCATCTTACTCCTGTCAGAATGGCTAAAATCAAAAACACCAATGACAGTTTATGCTGGAGGAGATGTGGAGAAAGGGGAACACTCCTCCAATGCTGGTGGTAGTGCCAACTCATAAGCCACTTTGGAAATCAGTATGGCGATTCCTTAGGAAAATGGGAATCAACCTACCACAACAACCAGCAATTCCACTCTTAGGCATATATCCAAAAGATGCACATTCATACAACAAGGACATCTGTTCCACTATGTTCATAGCAGCATTAATAGCAACTTAGATGCCCCTCAACTGAAGAGTGGATACAGAAAATGTACACAGTGGAGTACTATTCAGCAGAAAAAAAACAATGGAATCCTGAAATTTGCAGGCAAATGGATGGCACTAGAAGAAAGCATCCTGAGTGAAGCATGTACTCACTCATATATGGATTTTAGACATAGATCTGGGGAGTGCCAGCATACAATCCCACAGCCAGAGAGTCTGGGAAACAGAACCTTCAACCAATGACTGATGGAAGCAAAGGCAGACTCCACAGCTAAACGCTGAGCTGAACTCAAGGAACCCAGTGACAGAAAGGGAGGACTGATGAGCAAAGGGGTCAAGACTGGGCTAGATTAATCCCCAGAAACAGCTGACCTGAACAAGGGAGAGCTCTTAAACTCCAGATTGATGGCTGGGAATCCAGCATTGGACTGATCCAGACCCCCTGAATGTGGGTGTCAGTGAGGACACCCATAGGCAATCTATGGAGCATTGGGTAGTAGATCGATATTTATCCCTGGCATACAAATGGACTTTGGGTGCCCATCCCACAATGAGAGATGCTCTCTTAAACTGGACTCTTGGGGAAGACCCTACCCTGGGTGAAATGACAGACTATGGATAACCCCCATGGAGGGCCTCACCCTCCCTGGGGAAAGGAGTGGGGATTGGGGGCAGGGAGGTTGGTGGTAGGACATGTGAGGAGGGGAGGGAGAGGGAGAGGGACCTGGGATTGACATGTGAAGCAACCTTGTTTCTAATTTAAATTTAAAATTAAAGAAAAAGACATTTAAAAATTTTTTAAAATAATAAAATCAATTAACCTGTGTACTGAAATATTTCTGGGTGATGTGTGCTGTCTGAGAATTATCCCACAAGAGAAAATGGAGTTAGAAAGGAGGCCTAGTTGGTTACTCTACACGGATGTCAAGGGTTCTAAAAATAACAAACATTTATTTGGTTGTGTGAGAAAGCGTGTGTGCGGTGCACCATGCATGTGGGTGTGAGGGAAAGTCTTTTGGAGTTGGTTCCCCTTTCCACACGTGGGTCCTTCCACGGGTGTTAGGCCTGGATGATGAGGCCTCTGTGTATTGATCCATTCCCTGGTCCCGTGTAAGGCTTCTCTACGTTACCCTCTTTACTTCTGTATGTTACTGAAAACATTTCTACAGTTAAAAAAAAAAGCCAGAGCCGCACTGACAGAGGGAGCCAGGGAATGATATATAAATAATTAAAAACAGTTAGGAAACGGGATTGCTGATTTTTCCCATTTCTAAGACAATGACTCTCTTACCGTGGACAGGAAGCATTTTCACACTAAAAATAGCCTGTGGAAATTTTATAAAGAATTAACTACCACCATCACCCACACACACACACAAAATAACCAGAAGTGAAAAGCTAAAATTGGGAGCTTTTGAGCTAAATCCGGAAAGTAGTTTCATATACTTGAAGTAGCTCTTTCTTGAGACCAGCCCTTACGAAGGGTAAGTCATTCTGAGTAGTGACTAGAAAGTCCCTGAAATCAAGAAACAGCCATGAACTAACAGCTGGGCTCACTTTCAAGTTACATTGTACTCACCATATGTGAAGACATGAGACTCAGCCTCACACAAGCCATTCCCCTCTGGAAGGCAGCATGGCCAGGTCTCTCGCTTAACTCACCTGTATGCTTGGTGTCGAGCTCTTGAAAAATTCCTGCCAGAAACTCTTCCCCATGGGTTTCACAGGCCCCATAGGCTCCCTCCTCCTGGCTGCCCTCATCTTCAGCTTTCAACCCTATGGAAAGGAAAGGTTTGGGGATTGTAATGGGGTGTCATCCGAATAATTTTTACTTCAGTGACCATCGGCTCACAATACTGACATCTTCAGTAAACCATTTTCTAAAAGTGGTCTTGGGTGCTGGGAGCAGCTCAGAGGTATAGCATCTGTCCACGTGCCTGAGGCAGGCTTCGGGTTCAATCCCTAACAACACATATATACACACACATAAAAATTAAACTTAGTCATAGGCTAAAACACACATCTTTAATCCCAGCACTCATGAGGCAGAGGTGGATTTCTGTGAGTTAGGAGACAAAGCAAGTCCCAGATTAGCCAGGGCTTCATAGTGAGACCTGGTCTCAAGAAAAATAAGGGGAGTGGGGAACCTGTGGGGAATCGGGTTTTATAACCCTGTCATATAAAAGAGAATTGTAGAACAACAAGCAAAAACAAAAGAAATTTTAAGAAAACAGAGGCGAGTGGAAGAGATGGCTCAGTGCTAAGGGCACTGGCTGTTTTTCCAGAGGACCTGGGTTCAGTTCCCAGCACCCACATAGTGGCTCACAATCGTCTGTCACTCCAGTTCCTAAGGATCTGATGCCCCTTCTTCCCCCGTGGGCATCAGACATGAGTGCCCACACCCACACCTACGCCCGGTAAAACACAGACACACGTTAAAAGAAAAACAGAAAGCAGAATGTTCTAGAGATGTGCTATCCCGCAAGGGTTCGTTTCTGAGTGTCTATTAACCACAGAGCAATAAACAGCCTAGGCAGAGGTCCCTAAATCTCCAGCTGACACATTTACCTCCTCCACGGTCTGTTTCCTTGACTCCTGCAATGGAGCTCATTTGCGGGGTTCTGGGTTTGAACTCAAGGCCTGTAGGGAAGAACTCTGCCACTGAGCTACACCCCAACCAAACCCCACATTCTCTTACACGGCTGTTTCGCTGCTGTGCGAGAAGGTTAAAGGTCTGTCTCAGGGGAACACACGTGAAGACTGACTGGGCTTGAGCGACATTTGTTGCAGGATGGTGAAGACCACCACGGGGTTGAGAATTTGGATTTTATGTAGATGTGTGCAGAGTACAGGCTTTCTTTAAAAAGGGGGAGAAAGACTCACGCCTCACACAGAAAGGATGGAGATGGCTCGGTATTTAAGAGCACTGGCTGCTCTTATCAAGGACCCAAATTCTATTGCCTGTACCCACACAGTGACTCTCAACCAGCATCTGTGACTCCACTTCCAGGGGATCTAATCTCTTCTTCTGTTCGCCAAGGGCATCACATGTGATATACATACATATATGGAGGAAAGATACCCATATACAAAACATAAAAGATTTTAAAAATGATAAATGGAATGGGGAGGGGAACAAATGTAAAGATGTAATATGAAGCTGCTGTGAGAAAAATCCATCACTTCCCATGCCAACCTAAATATCAAAAAATAAAAAGCCAGGAAGGGAACAGACGCCTCTGTTCAGATGCATGAAGTTTTTTGTTTGTTTGTTTGTTTTATTTTTTATTTGTTTGAGACAGGGTCTCTTCTTAGGTAGTCCTGCCTGCCCTGGACCCTGGAACTCACTCTGTAGACCAGGCTGGCCTTGAACTCACGAGACCCACCTACCTCTGCCTCCTGAGTCCTGGAGTTAAAGGCATGCACCACCAACACCTGGCTAGAGCAAGTAATTTACGACATGGCTACTTACCGTCATCATTCAGAGATAACTTTCTCGTCACCCCATCCCAAGGAGTGGAAAACGTAGTGTCCCTCCCAGAGCTGCAGACAGAGCCAAGGACTGAGGTACTTGAAGAGTTTGCATTGCGGCTGCTGTCTAAATCCTTGCTGGGGATGCATCGCCCTTGGCCGGACTGAGACTTCAAGGATGGAGGGCTCTGGAGGCTCCATGGTCTCAGCTGTGAGCAGTTCTCAGAACTTGCCAGAACAACGGAGTACGTGGCCTCCTGAGGAGAGCTGGGCTGAGAGCTTGTCGAGGTTCTCAAGGACATGACTTCAGGACAGGAAACGCGACTGTGCTTTCTCTCAGGTCTTGAGAAGTGAGAGTCCAGCACAGGAACTCCAGTGGCAGCTGTCCTCCGCAGCGAGTCCCCAAAGGCCGTCTTGGTTTTAGACTGCGGACTGTCGGGGCTGCTGGACTTGCGTTTAGCGACCCGTCGAGCCAAATTCAGAGTGGTCTCTCTCCTCCGAATGGCTCTGATTTTTCGACAAATGCTCTCTACTGGGTTGCGACGCTTCTCAACTTCTTTCCTTGATGAGGTCATCATTACTCCATAAGTTAGAAGTGGCTAAACAGTAGGCAAGATCAGACGTGGATTTTGGAGTTAGCGTTGTCCCGACAAGGATTTTGCAGTCAGCTGCTTATCCCCACACTGACTTTTCAGGGACTGGATACCAGGTGTTCGACCGCTCTCAACAACTCAGATTTTTCAGGAACCGCCAGCAGCCAGTGATACGAAGTTCTCACCTTGAGCAGGTACATGCTAAGGACCCTCTGTGTAGCGACTGACTCACCCTTAGAACAGTGCTCTGGGGGTGGCTGACACTTGGCTCAGTGGCTAAGAGCACTTGCTGCTCTTGCTGAGAACATGGGTTCAGTTCCCAGCGCCCATAGGGGATTCACCACCATCTACAATTCCAGTTCCTGAGGGTCTGATGCCCTCCTCTGGCCTCTTGGTACCAGGCAGGTATATGGTGCATAGACACACATGCAGGCAAAATACACACACACAGACACACACAAATAAAGAAAATCTTAAAAATACATAACTAGAAATGAATCTGTAAAAATAACAACCACCACCAGTGCTCAGGAGTAGCGTCACCACTGTCTCCATTTTCTAGCAAAGGGAGAGTCAGGCACACACCCAAAGCCTCTTAGCACGCCAGAGGCACTGTGTCTGTGGCTGTTGGCACAGTCCTTGCCCGGCATACGCAAATCCCTGGGTTTGATCCCCAGACAGGGCAGACTGAATGTGGTCCACTCACCTGCAAAGCCAGCACTCAGTACGTGAAGGCAGGAGACCAGGCATTCTGGGCCATGCACAGCTCAGAGGCAAAGCTCTGGGCTAGCCTGGGCTTTAGAAAAGCGGAAAACAGGAAGGCAGATCCCTTACTAAAACCAGGCCATCTGGATTCTGGAGCTGGGCTTTTAACCATCTCAGTTTTTAATCTATTATCTATCTCTGTTTTTGAAACAATGTTTCCCTGTGTAGCCCTGACTGTCCTGGAACTCACTCTGTAGACCATGCTGGCCTCAAATTCACAGTGATCCCACCTGCCTCTGCCTCCTGAATGCTGGGATTAAAGTTGTACACCACCACCCAGCTGCTTTTTAATTTATGCAAGACTCCACATCATGCATAGTCTGTAATGGTGTCAGCAGCTCCCACATATACACGAACAACCATCTTCATTGACACAGTCCTGCCTCTCATCAATTGAGAACTTAAAATCTACTCTCTCGTAAATATACAGTGTTTTGTGCCTGAACGTCATATAATCCCTGTCAGATATCTGGAAATCCCTTTTACACAGAGGCCGAGAGTCAAAGAGGTCTAGTAACTTGTTAATGGTCCCAGCACTAGGATCTGAGCCAGCTAGGATTTGCTTTATTTGTTTTGTTGGTGGCAGGACTTGAACCTGAGGCTTTATGTAACCTTAGTGTTTTGTTAGTTTTCTGTGCCCCTAGCCCTCCAGATTATCGGTGTAAGATAGTTTTTAGAAAATCATGGATTCTTATAAGAAAAAATGAGAGATTTGGAAATCCAAATTTTTGCTTAAATAGTAGAATCGGTGGCAATTTCTAAGACCTAATAAAAATCTCAATCACAAGACTTTTTCTCAGTCCCCTAACGATGAATTATAAGCTGATAAACTTTGTTTGGGAGTGGGACCTTCCTTGTGCACTGTTGGGAATCAAACTCAGGACCTTCCACAGGCCGGGCGAGAGCTCTGCCACTAAGTCACCCCCAGCCTTGTGAGGCAGTCTTCAAAGTGGAATGAGAATATAGCTCAGGAGCAGGGGACTAGCTTGGCTGGTGTGAAGCCTGGATTCGATCCCCAGCCCTCCAGAGTCAGATACACAGCTTCAAAGATTTGTGGTCACCAAGAGAAGCAGAAAGATTCCAGAGAAGATGCCAGGGTGCAGGCTCGGGCTTCATGCCAATCTGATGGCCGCCAACTCCAATCAATGAAGTGTCCAACGATGGCCGCCATTAGAGAGTGGCCGCCCCTGAACTTGCTTCTTGTTGTGTGCAATACTTTGAGTGTCTGAGGCTTGTCTTGTGATCCCAAGCTTAAAACACGTTATTCTAACCCTAACCCTGTTCAGCTGTGGTCTCAATTAAGCTGGCTGCTTCTCTCTTCTAGAGCCAAATAACTGAGGTAGGTTTGGCATGAGGCTAGCGGGGACCCTTGAGTAGACCCTGGACCCCTGTGTCTGGTACACCACCCTCTCTTCTGAAGCTCCAGAGAGAAGCCTCACTTTACAGGCACTGGCATCTGACTCTCCGTCCAGAGTTCTAGACAAGACTTTCATTTTCTCCCCTGTGTCCTGCAGGTCTACGGCTGAGATAATTGCTGCTTGGCATCAATATACTACTTCTTTTAGAAAGATCACTTAAGACACTGCCCCTAACACAGACTAAGCTTCCTAGAGTTAGCTTGATTTATTCTGATACAGCAGGTCTGACGTGGGAATTGGAGCAGATGGAAAAATAAAGATCTCGCAGTATGAGCTGCCTTCTCTGTGGCCTGAATACATCCTGACCTGTTTTGCCCCTACTTTTCTTCTTGGCTTTAGATCCTGGTGGAAAAGCCTCTCTGCACCTCCTAAACCACTAAGAACCACAAATCTAGTCTGGGTGTGGGGACAGACACCACTCCACTCCAGGAGGTAGAGCCAGGGAGATCAGAAGTTCAAGGTTACTCTTGACTTTGTATCAAACTCAAGGCAACCTGGGGTCATACAAGACCTTCTCAGACAACACAAAGAGGAAACATACAGCTCACACTGGCCCGTATAGCTCACCCTGGCCGGTATAGCTCACACTGGCTCATACAGCTCACACTTGCTCTGTGCTCTAACTGCATGTGTACAGGCACTGACAGAAAGTGAAAAGCTATGAGTGAACTTTGCTAGAACTCACTGCTTGGAGGGTTTTTGTTTTGTTTTGTCGTTTTTTATTTGATTTGCTTTTAAAATGCGTCTCACTATTTAGCCCGGGCTAGTCTGGTACCCTCTGTGGAAACCAGATCCATTTGCAAACCCACTGAGATCTGCCTGCACCTAGTGCTGAGATCAAAGGCATGCACCACCGCACCCTGTTGGAGTCACGGAGGGGAGAGAAGCCTCTGAGGTTAGCAACGCTGGCTGCTCTTGCCAAGGACCTAGGTTCAGTTGCCAACACCCACGTGATGGCTCACGGCTATCTGTCATTCCAGTTCCAGGGGATCTGACACCCTCTTCTGACCTCCCTAGGTGCTAGGCACACATGTGACACACAGACATATGCAGGCAATATATATATATTACTTACTACACGTAAATATATATATACATATCTTGTACATATAAAACAAAAACAAACCTTTAAAAGAAAAAATTCACTTGATATTTGCATACAAAGATGGCCTGTTTGTTTGTTGAACTCTTAATGTCAAGAACCATTTGTGTGTGTGTGTGTGTGCATGTGGCTAAGTATGTTTGTGTGTCATGTCTTTGAAAGTGCCTGCAGCAGCCAGAAGAAAGCATCTGATCCCCAGAACTGGATTATGAGTGGTTCTGAGCAGCCAAGTGGGCACTGGGAATCGAACCCAGGTCCTCTCAAGAGTAGCCAGCACCCTTCGCCACTGAGCCATCACTCCAGCCCCAAGAATTTCATTTTCAGCACCATCATTTTGAAATGAGCCATCTTGGAGTTTGCCAGTTCCTCAGTGATTTCACTTTTGTTCCCATGCATAAACCTGAAACTTCGGTGTGTACACGTACCCACATGTTCACATACATGTGGACATGAGTGCGGTGGTCAGAGCCAGCACTGGGTGGCTTCTTCACCTGCACCCCATTTTTTTAGGATTTATTTTATGTGTGGGAGTGTGTTGCCTGCATGTATGTATGTACACATTATGTGTCTGGTGACCAGAAGAGGGAGTCAGATCTGATGGGGGAAGGTCCTTCTGTGTGCTGTGAATATATATTTCTCTTATTGGTTGATGAGTAAAGCTGTTTTGGTCAATGGACAGGCAGGATGTAGTCAGGCAGGAAGTATAGGCAGGGCTATCAGGGCAAGGGAATTCTGGGAAGAGGAACACAGGGAAGGTAGGACGCCTGGGCATTCTCTAGTAAGCCAAGACCACATGGAAATACATAGATTAATAGAAATGGATTAATAGCCGGGCGGTGGTGGCGCATGCCTTTAATCCCAGCACTCAGGAGGCAGAGGCAGGCGGATCTCTGTGAGTTCGAGGATGGGCTGGACCGACAGCCTCCAAAACAATACAGAGAAACCCTGTCTCGTAAAAACCAAAAAAAAAAAAAAAAGAAAAGAAAAGAAATGGATTAATAATTAAGAGAGAACTAGCCAATAAGATGCCTGGGCCGAGTGCCCAAGAATTTATAATTAATAAAGCGTCTGTGTGTTTATATGGGACTAAATGGCTTCAGGACCTGGGGGGGACAGAAAGCTCCATCCACACAGATTTCCTGCAACTAGAGTTATAGGTGGTCATGAGCACCCGGGTGCTCTTACACAGCTGAGCTGTCTCTGGCACACTCCACCTCATTTTATGAAACAGGGACTCTTGCTGAGCACAGAGCTCACTGATTGTCTAGACTGGCTGGTCAGTAACCCCAGAGAGCCTGCCGTCAGGTGTTCTGACTGGGAGTACAGAATGCCCCGAGCCCAACTCTTCCTTGGGTTCTGGAGATCAAACTCGGGTCCTTGTGTTTATGACGCAAACACTTTACCTGCTGAGCACTCTCTCAGTCCCGTCCGGTGTATTATTTTCCTACAATAAAATCACCACTTACTTAGTAATGTATTCATCAATCACGGGATCTTCGATTTATCACTACCAGCAAATACTTAAGGGATGTGTAACAATGCCTGATGTAACAATGCCCGTGCTGTGCGTAGACGGTAGGTTTATCACAAGTCACCAAAAACTCTTTTAGGAAGCAGAATAAGCGTATGTATCCATGAGCCACAGAGGGCAAACATCCTAGAGATAGTGTTGAACGACGTGGGGATTAGCGACGGGAGTTAGATGAACTACGGCACAGCCATAGGACACCTAGGACAGGAGCCGTACCCATCGTACAGGTGTTGTCTGCACCAGAGAAATGAACTCCTGCTTTACAGTCCTGGGCCAGGCAGGCATTAACTCAGCTCTTTGCTATATGCAGGACAGTTCCAGCAACAACAACCACCACAGGACTTGGGGTTACACACAGGAGCCACGGAGCCTGCTTCCATGAGAGTACACAATAAGTGAGGATAATCACTGTCATGTCACCTCGTGTGAGTCCCAGTGGAAAGTCCTACGACAGTCACGTAATTCAACCTTTTAATCCTCTTATAGGTATTTTTCATGTGTGCGGTGTGCGTTGAGTGTGTGTGTTTGTATGTAGATGTGCACACATGTGCTGAGCATGCGTGAGGGTGTGAGTGCGTGGGGAGGCCCAAGGCTGAACTCCACCCCCCTCCCCAACTCTTCCACTAAGTTCGCCAAGGGAGAGTCTCTCAGTACAACCCAGAGCTCGCCAATATGGCTGGTCTTGGCAGCTAGCTTCCTCCATGGTCCCCTGTCTTCACCTTCCCAGGCTATGGTTACAGACAGGCTGCCAAGCACCCTTCATATCCACGTGGGTTCTGCGAGTCAGAACGTAACTGCTGTGGCCTCTCCCTGACCGTTAACGGTCTAACTCTGAACCTGGCAACCCATATGTAAAGCGGTATGCATGGTGCACAGCGGCATAGCCATGGCGGGATTTTCCATGCCCTCCTAAAGTCAGAGTGCTCTCGGGTCCCTTCTGAGCAGTGCTCTGTGGGCTTCTGGGCCCCCACATTTAGCTGGTAGCAAATCAAAACTCTGTGACGCTTGGTTTTCAAACGACAAGTCATCTCCAGTCTGCGAATGATTCATGAAATACCTGGGACACCCTTTATATTAAAACACTCTGAAACTTGTGCTCCATCTGGGAAGGCGGAGGGACAGCGAGTTTTAGAAGAACAGGGGCTGCACTCACCGTAGTGACCCCAGTGTCTGCAGGGCTCCGTGCAATTTAGGTATTTAATAAACACTGCCTGGCTGCCTATGGGGATGGCTATTAAAGGGTTAAACCTGCGCTTGCTCATGCATGGAATACAACTGGTGTTTGGAGAACAGGAGTGGCTCTTTATGGTCTGGGGAGCTACACAGGGCAGCTCCCAACTGCCCCAGGGTATCCAGAACCCTCTACAGCGGCCTTGGAGGGACCTGCGCATGTATGGTACACAGGTATACATGCAGGCAAAACATCCACGCATAAATAAAACCCCCATTTAAAAAAGAAAGAAAATGTACCTTTTTATTTCCCCTGTGTGAGTTCTGGAGGCAGGGCCATGCTGTCTGAACCTGACATGTAGGCTGGTCTCACACTTACAGTGATTCCCCTGTCTCTGCAGACTAGAGTCACAGCTATGCAAATCTTGCCCAAGTTAACACTTTTTCTTGGATGTTGTACTTTCTAGCTGAAGATCGGGCACGCTCTGTAAGTCACTCAGTTATGAAATCCATGCAGGCTGGAGAGACGGCTCAAGATTAGGAGTGCTCTCCCGGGGGCACCCAATTCAGCTCCCAGCACCCACACAATCAAGGCAGCTCTTGATCGTCTGTAACTCCAGCTCCAGGGAATCGGACACCTCCTCTGGCCTCTGCTGGCACAGACATGTGGCACACACTCACACAAACATACACACATGAATAAAAAGATATTCTAAAAAATCCACAGAAATCGTCTATGAGTCACAGAGGTGAAATCCACTTGGTTGACTAAAATTTAAACAAAACCTTTAATTGATTAATACAAACTTTTAAATGTTCATGTGTCGATAAATGGTAAACAAGGGGTTTCTTTGTCAATGGTCAGATACAGCCAAGCCCTTTGTCAAATGCAAGAATCAGCCAGCAATTAGGAGGCAGAGACAGGCAGATCTCTGAGTTCAAGACCAGCCTGGTCTACAGAACCAGTTCCAGGACAGCCAGGGCTGCACAGAGAAGCCCTGTCTCAGAGACAGAGGGGGGGACACCCATTCACTGGAAGCTCCTTGGAGGTCCCAAACCCCCCCCTCCCCGCCCCTGCTGCCAGGCTGGTGGGAGGCAGAGAGTGTTTCCTACCTAGCTTCACCCATATTTTTTGTTTTTCGAGACAAGGTTTCCCTGTGTAGCTTCGGAGCCTGTCCTGGAACTTACTCTGTAGACCAGACTGGTTTTGAACTCAGAGATCTGCCTGTCTCTCTGCCTCCCAAGTGCTAGGACTAAAGGCATGCGCCACCACCACCTGGTTCACCCATGGTTTTGCTGTTATTGTTTTGCCAAAGTCTCACTCTGGACTGGAACTCATGATAGTTCTACTGCCTCAGTACCCATGCTCAAGTTATGGTGTGGGCTGTGTTTGCTGTGTTTGTTGGATTAAACACACTTCTTTTCTGTGTGTCTTTCTTAGGACGGGGGACATCAGCTACACTAAAAGTGACTTGCAAACCCCATGTCCCCAGCCCAGAAAGTGCTCTATAAGTCAATTGTCTGTACACCTTTATGTTATACACACAGGGAGACACACACACACACACACACACACAGAAAACACGCACTGGTGAGACTGCAACCCTCTCCTCTCCTGTTCACATAACTTTGTCACACTAAACGCCCCTCCATTGGGTCACACCAACCCCATAGTCAACTTTGGGGCACGATTTCTGAAACAGCCCTCATGCTTTGGAGGGTCGCCTGTCTCCTTCAGCGTCTCTTATTTTATCAAGGCTAGATTTTTCTCTCAGAAGAAAATTTACAATAAACCCCAAACTGCAAGAATCAGGGGCTTCCTTGCTTTCTCAGGCTACAAAACCATGCCCCTGCTTCCTACCAAGGGAGGCACCTTCCAAGGGACCAGGCCTGGAAAACTCCCCGCCCCCCACCCCGTGAAGCTTTGGAAATCTCTCCGAAAGTCAGTCTGAAGACAATTCTGGAGCTGGGTGCGGTGGTTCATGTCTGTAATTACAGCACTTGGAAGGCTGAGCGAGGCAGGGGGATCACTGTGAGTAGCCTGCCTTAGAGAGAGCCTGTGTCAAAACGAGGAGGGAAGGAAAGGGAGGCGGAGGCGGAAGAGGAGGAGGGAGGAGGGAGTTTGACTATTTGCCCTTAGTGAAGCTGGAACTTCCAGAACCCTGCTACTTATCTTTTCCCTTCACATTTCTAACCTAGCTTTACTTCTCTACTGAGCTTCTAATTTACACCGACGACAGCGACATTGGACAATGTCCTGTACGGCAGGTATTTTGAGGTTGAGGCAGGAGTGAGGAGACAGCATGGGGGCAGGGGAATCTCTACTTTGCCAAGGGGACTAAGGTCAGGGCTGGCTGAAACTGAGCTACTTGTCTGGGGGAATCTCACCACGGCATTTTTCACTGGGCTGGTCCAGCACGCCAGGAACTGACTTCTGCGTCCACACCAGGGAGAGTGAAGGCTTGCAGATGGATGGGAGAGGTGGAGCTCATTTGTGCTAATTTAATACCCGCTGGCAAGGGGGGCGGTGTCAAGGGCAGGGTGGGATCAGCCGCACCTGTCTTGGTTCTGCTCTAGCTCAGGGCAAGGGAAGACCACGGGCAGGCTGAGGAGGAAGTCTGTGTGGAGCCAGGAGGAGGCTGAACACCAGGTTAGGCCAGCACAAGCCTCACACCTTCAGTCAGAGGGGCGGAAAGCCTCCCCTTTCTCTTCCTACAGAGCCTCATGTGGCAGCCCAGGCTCGTACCAGGCTACATCCACAGCTGTAGAAGCCGTTCTGGAATTTCCTAAGATAATATAGATCGGAGTTGCTGTGTGGTTCTCACAAACATACACGATGCTGTTCCTTCCTTTTCTTGGAAGACACGGTCTATAAATTGTGCAAAATGTAACAGCTAAAGCCGTAAGTGCTCAGTACATGGACAAAGCTGCACCCAGGGCAGATGACGCCCTTCGCCGGGCGTGTTGGCATGCACCGTGATGGAAAGGGGGTAGCATGTGCGTGGGGGTGCTGGTTTGAGTAGGTGGAGTCCAGTCAGATTGCAAATATGCATGCATTCTCCTCCTTGCCAGTTCCTCAAGGAAAATGATGCTCGGCTCATCGATGATCCGACAGTGGAAGGATATAAAAACATGCATAAATATAAATCCAGAATAAATCGTATGGTAACCACGTACAATGTAGAAGGTCGAATGTCATAGACTCTGTTGAAATCCAGTAAAACGCTAGACGTTGTGAAAATATGGGGTCCATAGCGCCCTCTAGTGATGGGTAGTTGAAACTCACTGTTCCTGAAAATTATCTCTGAAATTTATCATTCCCTCAATTTTGTGATTTACTATTGTGGTCAATTAATGATAATAATGATAACAATATATTATGTCATACTTTGGAAATATCTCTGTGGAAACACTCAAGTTTCAAACAGGTTTATTCTAGCGTAACTGGGTTGTTTTGTTTGTTCTGGATTTTTAAATGTAGAATCTTGGTATATCACACAGGCTGGGCCTCAGACGGCCCTAGCCTCAAAGCCACTGGCATTAGAGGTATGCACTACCACACCCAGGCAGAATCCTGCTTTTGATGATGGGGGGAATTGAGGATAAAACAGGTCCTGGGGGCGGGAGAGCTGGCTCCCACAGAGGACCCAGCTTCCGCTCCCAGCACTCATGGTCAGCGGTGAGCAGCTTCCGCCATCTGTAACTTCAGAGCCAGGGAGCCAAACACCTTTGGTCTTGGTAGGCACCTGCACTCATGGGCACACTCCTACACACACACACACACACACACACACACACAGACACGCACACAGACATACACACGCACACACGCACACACACATGCACACGTCACTTACATGTATTAAAAAATAGAAACAGATTTTACAGGGCATGGCGGCACAGGTCTTTAATCCCAGAACTCATGAAGCAGAGGCAGATGGACCTCTGTGAGTTAGATGTCAGCCTGGACAAGACACACAGTGAGAGCCTGTCTGAAGAAAAAAAAAAGAAAAAGAAATACCTTAAATATATATTTAATAGGTATCACAAACATTCATACACAAGTCTGAGGCATTTGTGTATGTACCTTGTATATATTTATTATGTTAGCCTCAGAATCCATTGATCTTCCATATAAAGTACATGTGGTGGTGCACACCTTTAATCCCAGCCCTTGGGAGGCAGAGGCAGATGGATCTTTGTGTGTGAGTTTGAGGCCAGCCTGGTCTGCAGAGTAGTTCCAGGACAGCACAGGCTACACAGGGAAACCCTGGCTCAAAAAGCCAATAAATAAATAAATAAATAAAAATAAAAAAATAAAATGCATGTGTACAGTCATTTAATAACTCAAATGGAGTGAGTCCTAGGACAGTTGGTGGTAGATGTGTAGAGAGATCTTGTCTCAAACAAACAAGTGAAATGGAGATCAGTGAGAAGTCTCCGTGGTTAAGAACAGCACCGACCGCTCTTGCAGTGGAACCAAGTTCGGTTCCCAGCCTCCACTTTGGGTGGGTGAGCTGCCTGAAATTCCAGCTCCAGGGGATCCAATACTGTCTTCCAGCCTTCATGTGCACAACATACTACACACACTACACACACACACACACACACACACACACACACACACACACACGCAAACAATAAAAGTTAAGGGTCATAGAGATCCTCAGTGGGTAGACACTTGCTGCCAAGCGTAACTACCCCGAGATAGATCCGGGGGCCCCCATGGTGAACGAGAGGGCCACGTTGCCGTGGCACAAGGGAGCACACACACATTCACACAGGCTGCAGAGTTAGCAGAGTGCCTGCCAGAAGCGCAAAGCCCCAGTGCGAGCCCAGTGTAGTGGCTCACACCTGTGACCTCAGGACTTGGAGGGGAAGTCGGACAGTCAGAAGTACCAGTGTAGTGGCTCACCTGTGACCTCAGGACTTGGAGGGGAAGTCGGACAGTCAGAAGTACCAGTGTAGTGGCACACACCTGTGACCTCAGGACTTGGAGGGGAAGTCGCACAGTCAGAAGTACCAGTGTAGTGGCACACACCTGTGACCTCAGGACTTGGAGGGGAAGTCGGACAGTCAGAAGTACCAGGTCACTCTCGGCTACACAGAGAGACCCCAGCCGGCTGGGCCTACAGGAGACTTTGACTTTTAAAAAGAGAACATAAATGGACTCCAGTTTTCCCAATAAAAGCCAATTTCGGTGCCTAATGTGCTAATTGTTGCCTACGCCTCGGAGGGCAGAAAATCTTGCAGTAGGTGCTGACTGGGTTGGGGTGATATCAGGGGCACACTGGGAGTCTTGCTCAAGGTAGGCCTGTAAATCAAGGTTTCTGTCCCACCTGCCAGTTCCCGAATAAACACTCAGGTGCTTAATAATAATTACAATTGTTTGGCCAATGGCTCAGGCATATTGCTGACTAGCTCTCACAATTAAATTAACCCATTCTTACTAATCTGTGTATCAACATGTGGCCGTGGCTTACTGGTAATGTCCTGGCATCTTACTCCTTGGGCAGCTACATGGCGTCTCCCTGACTCCCCCTTCTTTCTCTCCGTGTCTCTGTTTTTGGATTTCCCGCCTAGCTATATTCTGCCCCACCATAGGCCAAAACAGCTTTATTCATCAACCAATAAAAGCAACACATATTTGGCAGCGTGCAGAAGGGCATCTTTCATCATAGGCCAGCTGGTCTCCCTTACACTTACAGATTAAAGTAATCGACACGTAATTATATAATGCTGGTAACACTGGAGTCTGTGTGCGTGTATGTGTGCATGTATGTGCGCCTGTATGTGTGCATGTATGATGTGTGCATGTATGTGCGCATGCATGCGTGCATGTGGAGGCCACAGGGGGACATCGGGAGCTCTGGTCTGTCACTTTCCATCTTATTCCCCGGAAACAAAGTCTCTCACTGAACTTGGAACTAGGACTGTAGACAGGTAAACCCCAGCAACCGAGCCTCCCGTGTTCAATTTCTCTACAGTGCTGGTGCTGCGGGTGCACACACCTCTGTACTTAGCTCTTCACATGGGTCCTGGGGACTGGAACACGTGCCCTCATGCTTGCACAGTGGGCATTCTTGTCTAGTGAGCCATCTCCCCAGCCCACAGTTTGTTCGAAGCAAATTACACATGGCGGTCAGTAGACAGCCTCACATGTCTTCACCGGCTGCCTTGTTTCCAGGCAGAGTCTCTTTTCTGTCCTCTGCCGTACAGGCCGCCTGGTCTGAGAGTGTCCTGGCTTCTCTCATCCCCACCTCTCAAACCCCCGTGGAAGCACCGGGGCGAGGGACACTCGCCCTACCACTTCCGGGACTCCAACTCAGGCCCTCATAATTGTGCGGCAAGCTCTTGTACCCACAAAGATGTCTCCCTAGACTTCCTTTTGTGGTTCTTAACAGGACGATGTTTCTGAACCGCTGGAAGCAATTTGGAAAGGTGTGCAGACACCTGGGGCTCCAGTGAAGACATGAAGGGGTGTATCAGACATTTAATAAGGGGCCACATGTTCTGGATGCCTTCTAGGAAGTCCGTCCCACACAAGGCTGATGTTCCCATGCCCCACTAGATGGCCATGGAGGCAAAAGGCCCGCTGATGAATTCAAATCAGGACCTGCATGTAGGGGCTGGAGAGATGGCTCAGCGATGTGGAGTGCTGGCCGCACTTCCAGAGGACCTGGGTTCCAGAGGACCTGGGTTCCAGAGGACCTGGGTTCCAGATGACCTGGATTCCAGAGGACCTGGGTTCCAGAGGACATGGGTTCCAGAGGACCTGGGTTCCAGAGGACCTGGATTCCAGAGGACCTGGGTTCCAGAGGACATGGGTTCCAGAGGACATGGATTCCAGAGGACCTGGGTTCCAGAGGACCTAAGTTCCAGAGGACCTGGGTTCCAGAAAACCTGGGTTCCAGAGGACCTGGGTTCCAGAAAACCTGGGTTCCAGAGGACCTAGGTTCCAGAGGACCTAGATTCCAGAGGATCTGGGTTTCACTCCTGGCACCTACGTAGCAGTGCACAACTGCCTATGAATCCAGTTCCAGGGCATTGATGCCTTTTCTGGTCATGTGTGTGGTACTCAGAAATACAGGCAGACAAAATAAATAAATAAATTTAAAGCGGGGTGGTGGTGGTGAACGCCTTTAATCCCAGAGGCACCTGGATTTCTGTGAGTTGTAGGCCAGCCTGTCTATAGAGAGAGTTCCAGGACAGCCTGGGCTACACAGAGAAACTCTGGGGGTTGGGAGGTGGGGTGTCAGGGCTTTCTTCGAAGGGAAAAGGCCCTTCACCAACTGTGTGATCTCCCCAGGCCCCTCCCTACCGTGCTTGAGTTTACCCCTTTCTTCTGAACGCAGGAGATGTTCTCACCCGTCCATATCGTGAATTCACTATCTCTGCTCTCTCTAACCACACAACCTCTACACTGATAAGTTCTGAAAGTGGCATTAGATCCCAGGTTCATCGCAATCACCTAAGCCCAATGAATCCAAATCCAAGCACAGCCCTATAAGACCTCAGTCTGAGGCCATCTTTGGAGGCTAACACAGTAGTGATTAACTCAGTGTCATCATTAAGGCAGGCTAAACAAACGGGCCGAGTCCACAGCAGGATAGTAGTCTTTTTTTTTTTTTTTTTTTTTTTTTTTTTGGTTTTTACGAGACAGGGTTTCTCTGTATTGTTTCGGAGGCTGTCGGTCCAGCCCGGCCTCGAACTCAGAGATCCACCTGCCTCTGCCTCCCGAGTGCTGGGATTAAAGGCGTGCGCCACCACCGCCCGGCGCGGATAATAGTCTTAAGTGGCTGTGAGGTCCAGCCAAGGTTCCAGCCAAGTAGAACGCAAGAGACACTTTTACAGCGGCCCAACGTCCCATCCCCACAGCTGTCCTTCCAGCTGCTGCTGTCGCTGACATGCACCCAGAGTCAAGCTCCCAACTTCAACTGGTTCATATCTTCATAAGCCGCATTTAAAGTGGGGAGGATGTCCGAACCCCCCCATCTGCTTACAACCACATCTCCTTATATCCCCCTCCCTGGCTCAGGAGGCCATCCTCCTGTCCCCACTGACCCACGGGGCTTAATCTCAGCTTTTAACCCCCCTTCCCCAGCGCTCTCCGCCCAGCAGGGAGCCATCGTCCTAGACTCCTCTACAATCCGATTTCTCTCTGCTTTTCAAGCGCATGTGCTTTGCTGCCCACAGTGGGGCAGGTCTAGGATCCCAGAACTTGGGAGGCAGTGGCGGCAGCGACGGGAGTTCCCTCTTTGGGTGACTCCGGAGTGTGTCGAGCTGAGGACAAGAACCACCCAGGACACCTTCCTTGGTCGAGTGTATCCGAGGGGGAAGACGCTGTGAAGAAAGACCGAAGGTCGGAGCTGTGGAACAGGAATGGGGAGGGGCTCAAAGGTGAGAGTCCCTGGGATCCACACTGGGGTAACAGCTTTCTGTGTCTGCAGAAGGTACGCAGTCTGTCTGTCCTGTAGCCCGCTTCCTGGGTAGCGGTGGCTGGGGCGAGTGCAGGTTCCTTGGATTCTAATCTTAGCTGCTGGTCTTGACTCTCGTATCACAGAGCACACAGCAAATATATCTACATATCCACATCCACATATTTGGGTTACAGGATAAAGGCAAAGGGCCGCATGCGGTAGAGACCAAGAGGCATCAGGCTGCCGAGCATGCGCTGATAAGATAGCAAATCGGACCAGTGTTGGATGGGCTGACAAGTTTTGGGGCCTGATTCCATTGATATGATTTTAGTATGTTTGTGTGCCCTCCGTGTCTTGATTTGCCCTGATACACGCATAGGGCAGTCCACGCTCTCCTCCTAGGAAGAAGTCTTGTATCAGTCCGTGCCGGATGGGTGGCTCCCGACAGATGGTGCCGGTCTCCTTCTCCCCGCTCAGAGTGGAACCAAAAGCTGCTTATAGACGTGTCCCAGGGCAACGTCCAGCCTGGGAAATCCCCTGTCTCATACAGCGTGGCGTGACCCTGAGTAGGTCAAGGTCTACTTGGGTAGGTAGTGTATAACTACCAGCTAATTTTATCAACTTGTTCTTCCTTCTCCTCGGTCCACCCTTATCCCTTGGTTCCCCCCATCTCCCGTTCATCCCCCACCCCCGCCACTTAGCGACTGAACATAGGGGTTGCTGGGTGATAGGCAAGCACCCTGCCATTTGAGCTATATCCCAGGCCTCGAAAATCTTAGCCGTCGCCAAAGAAATCCTGCACCGAATCACCAGACTGGTCACAACCTACCACGTGGCTTCTCTTGTCCAGCTTCTTTTCAAATTGCTTCTTTTGGGGAGTGTGTGCGTGCGTGCATGTGTGTTTGTGTGTGTATACACATGTGTAGGTATGTGTACACGTGTGTAGGTGTGTGCCTGTACATGTGTGTATGTGTGTATTGCTTCAGCCTCTGAGTAGCAAGGACTACAGACAGACACCACAGCACTTTGGCTTCCTCCCTTTCCTCCCTCCCTCCCTCTCCCTCCCTCCCTTCCCCTCCCTTCCTCCTTCCCTCCCTCTGTCTCTCTGTCTCTCTCTCTCTAACACAGGGTCTCTCTGTAGCCCTGGCTATCCTGGAACTCACTCTGTAGACCAGGCTGGCCTCGAACTGCTTCTGCCTCCTGAGTACCGGGACTAAAGTGTGCGCCCCCACTGACTGGTGGCTCAGTTCCTTCTTATTGTGGATTAACACTCCACCATACCAACGATAGCTCCCGTATTTCTGCACTCATCTGCTGATGCGCACAGTGCTACTAGAGTTAAAGCCTGCCTAGACCACAGCGGCCTGAAGGGAAGAATCTTCCTGCTGTTGTGCTGGGTACAAAGATAACTCAGTACATTTGTCAGACTAAGATAGCTCAGTCATTCAATGGCCTGGTCACCAGTTCATGCCAGGCTCCAGAAAGAAAATAGGAAAAGAAAGAAAAATCATGTTTGTTTGTTTGTTTTATAGAGGATACAGGAAAAACACAGTCGTGGACAAGGCCGATTCTCTTCCAAGGAGTTAGGAAAGGAAATTTCACAGCAAAGATCTGCTTAGATCACCCAACAGAAAGTTTGCCAGATCCTCAGAGGGAGGGACTCTCCTCAACTGAGCACAGTCAGCTGGGGTCTAGCCTGAGGCTCCACACAGATATCCAGCCACAGTGACTGTTGTGTTTGGAGAGGGAGTGGCCAGGTGGCAGGGCCATTTCACATCAGAAAAAACTGTGTGTGCACATCGGAGGATGCAAACTAAGAAAGCTGGGTACCCAACTGCAACCTGAGAGCCCATCCCAGGGCTCCCAGGGTAGAAGGAGGGAATTCACCCCTGCCGGTCGTCCTCCACTGCGCATGCCCACCCAGCCACCCACCCCCTACACAAAACGTATTACATTTGTTTAAATGTTAAAGGTAAAGGAATTGTCAGGCACGGCTGACTGTATTTGAGAGCAGACTGAGGGTGGAGAGTGGAAAAATCGAACCTGCTCCTTACTGTCCCAAAATACATCTTAAAACTTGCCCGCTCTGAGACCAGGCGAGGGAGGTCGCCAGCTGCTTCTCAGCAGCCAGCAGAGAGGAAGTCAATCAAAGGTTCTGCCAGATCTGTCCTCCTGCGCTGCCTGCCTCCCCTCTGCCTGCCTCCCCTCCTGCGAGAGAAGTACGTGCTCATCACATGGTCCCCCAGGCCGGAGTGTGCCGGAGGCCCAGCTGCAGCTCCCTGCAGGGCCAGCCGCTGATGCAATCCGCAGTCCAGCGCTCCCAGCTCTCCATCTTCCGCGCTCCGCGACCCTGAGCGCCACGTGTCGCCGCACGCCAGCTGGAGGAGACTCAGACCTGCGTCCAGGAGCTGGAGCCACGACCCCGCCACGAGCAATGAAGGTAAGTCACTGAAGTTCCCGCTGGAATGCAGCCACCCACTCGGGACCTCTCGGACAGAGAGGAGGATGGAAGGACAAACTCGTTTTGTTCCGGGTCCTCCTCGGCCACCAGGCGTGGGGACCCGGCCTGGTCTCCGTCCACAGATGCGCCCACTCGGGCTCGTTCCCCCGGGATCTGTGGGTGTGGTACCCAGCTTCAGAGGATGCCACAGCTCCTGTCCCCCAGTTTCCCAAGGCGGGAAGAAAGACGGTGCATCTGAGCTGCCCAGAGATGGGGTTTGGGGAAGATGCCCGGCGTGCTCTCTTGGGGGGCGGGTAATGGAAGTGGGACCCTCTTAGCTGCCGAAAGCTCATCTTTTGGGTTCCGGGCTCCACGTGGAAGCTCCGGGAGCTACCGGTCGCTTGAGCTCCAGGGCAGCCTGCCGGACTGGACTGGAGCGTGCAGGCATTGTCTTCTAGTGCTAATCCGATGGTAGCTAGCCCAGCCACCAGCCAGAGGCGGTTCAGGCTATCAGATCTGAAAGGCGCCCCTTTCTAAGGGAAATGATGCTCAGTTGTTTGTGCCGTTTTCTAGCTTCCGGGAAGGAAGGTTCCAGTAATAAAATGTGGGCTTTTGGGAACAGCGGAGTGCAGCCACGTTTCAGATTCTGAGGAGGTGGAGGAGGGAGTTGGAGTTGCAGACTGCTCATGCCTCGCTGGACAGAATCCCCACGTCATTTCATTCATACCGTGACTCACTTTGCCTCTAGCCCTGACAGACATGGGTATATGCATTTACTATTTTTTGTAGATGTGCATTTAATGTATTCACTACCTTTGTTATTCACTTGCTCATTCTGTATATATATCTTCCTTAAACTACCCCAAACTCCAGGGGGGGGGGGTGCAGTTTGTGTACAGAGATAAGCTACACACGCTCACTGAGAAAAGGGGTTCATGTTCCCTAAACTGTGGCCTCTTTGGCAAGGCCCAAAGCTAACGAAGGGGTCTAATCTAGGCTGGCACTGCCTTGTTGGGGAGCAGGGAGGGGGCACATCTCAGCTTTATTTCCTTTCTGAGCCATGGAGACAAAGGATGGAATTTTTAAAAATTGCCACTGTGATCCAGGCTTGGAGTAGTTCCAGAACTTGTGCAGTGGAGAGAGAAGACTTGAGAATTTAAGGCTATCCTTGGTTGTATAGCAACCAGTAGGCCACCCTGGGCTAAGAACACCAACGAAAACAAGGGGGGAAATGTCTGTAGGTAAGGACTATTCTCAGCTCATTTGGAATGGGTTGGAACCTTCTTGAAGGAAATTAAAATTCTCAGCTCATTTGGAATGGGTTGGAACCTTCTTGAAGGAAATTAAAAACAGCCTTATGAACCTGACTGATAGACTTCCCGGAGTATCTGTGACTCCCTCGGTTATTCTCCCAATTGTGCGTTTTATTCCTAATTTCTCATGTGTGCCCACAAGGAAACTCCTTGGAAGCTGTTACCAACCTAGAGAACGTATCCAGACCTTATTTCAGTGCCTAAGCGAGGACGCTGCCTGGGTGTTGGGTTGTGACTTTTGGGGTCTCATAGAGAGCCTTTTGTGGAGGTGGCAAGGTGTCTGGCTAAAGAGTTTCCTCCATTGCTAACTACATTTCTTTATTAATTCTAAAGATTCCTTTTTATGCATGAGCGTGTTTTGGCGGCATGGATATCTGTGCATGCCAGAAGAGCGGGCACCGGATCCCCTGGAACCAGAGTTCCAGAGGGTTGTGAATCACCAAAGAGATGCTGGGAATCGAACCCAGGGACCTCTGGAAGAGCAGCCAGTGTTCTTAATCACTGAGCCATCTCTGCAGGCCCAAGATACAGCGTCTGAGAGTCTCTTCTCTGGGTCTACCATGACAGTGACCGGGATGGAACCCAAGAGACGGGCTTGGTATCAAACACCTCTGCCCAGGGAGCTGTTTCATGACCCCATTGTCTTGTGTGTGTATGTGTGTGTGTGTGTGTGTGTGTCTATTGTGTATGCTTGTGCCTGCCTGTTTACCTGCGTAAGTGCAGGCATGTACATGCTACCGTGCATGTGTGGAGGGCAGAGGGCAGCCTCTGGTGCTGCTTGCCTTCCGCATTGGAAACAGTCTTTGTCGTGAGCCGCTGTGTGCGTGTCAGGGAAGCTGGCCTGTGAGAGGCACCACCACACTTGACGTTGCTGAGCTCTGGGAATTTGAACTCAGGCCCTCACGAGTGACTTACCACTGAGCCACCCCAACCTCCCATAATACCTTTAAATATGTAATGACTCCAGGGGGAATGTTCAGTGCACGCCAGGGGGAATGACTGTGGAACCTGTGTGTTCGATGTCATTGTCCCAGCCACCTTCCCCATCCCCTACTCTCTGTGGAACATGGCTTTCCCAGCAAGCATGGCAGGATCTAGATAGCCCACTCACTCCTCAGTTGTAACTGTGGGCAGCCTTGGCAATGACATCTCTTGACCGGCTGCCTAGTGCTCAGAGTTTAACAATGCATATGATGACCACGCCTCCTGCTGGGTCTCTGGGGCACAACTGGAAAGGAAGTGGTCATTCGGGCCACGCCCACCCAGGCTGGGCTCTGTTTAAATCAGCAGACACACGTGAGAATTGCAGCCCAATTTTAAAAGTCATCTTAAGGTTTGGAGAGGTGGCTGCTTGCTGCTCTCACGGTTTCCTGGAGTTAGACTCCCTGCTCCCCGTCATGTAGCTCACAAGGACCCGTACCTGCAATTCCAGGGAGTCTGCCACCTTCTGCCCTCCATGAGCCCCTGGGCTGAAGTGCACAGTCCCATGCACAGACACACATATAATAAACCCAATGTTAGGGTTTAGGGTGTGCTGGCCCACAGGTGTGACTTTGTATTTGTAGTTGTTGCATGCTAAGACATCAAGGCAGAGCTTTGGGACCAGTCAGGCACCTGTATCCATTTCATCACTGTTCTAAGTAAATTTCAGGGTTAGTCACTGAGTTATGTTACCTCTAACACCAAATGCTCATGTCCTTAAACCAGCTTAGACCACCTTACCTGCAATGCATGGTGCATTTCACAGACACTGTTCTCTCATACAGGCCGTGACTTTTTTGTGGAAAGTAGTTTCCCTAGGATATTTTCTTGTTTTCAGTGGTTAAAGGGAAAGATAAACACACACAGTTTTGTTTTTTGAGACAGGGTTTCTCTGTGTAGTCCTGGCTGTCCTGGAATTCTCTCTGTAGACCAGGCTGGCCTTGAACTCACAGAGATCTGCCTGCCTTTGCTTCCCGAGTGCTGGGATTAAAAGTGTGAGCCATCATCCCCTGTTGATATATAAAAAAGACTTTAACTCTTACTTTTTAAATAAAAGTGTGTGTGTGTGTATGTATGTATGTATGTATATGCCATGTGTGTGTGGGTGCTATCAAAGGCCAGTAGAGGGCCTTGGGACCCCTAGAATGGAAGTTGCAGGTGGCTATGAGCAGACTGGTAGGGTTCTGGGACTGAACTCGGCCCCCTGGCAGGGCAGGAAGTGCTCTTTCCCACTGAGCCATCTCTCCAGGCCCAATTTTTATAAAGAAGATTTTACCAGATAGTCCTGACTGACCTTGAAATTGAGATCCCACTACACAGAGTGTGGGATTGCCACAGAGTGTGGGGTTACCACTGCGTTGTAGGGTTACCATGTAGTGAGGGGTTACCACATAGTGTGTGGCTATCATATAGTAGGGGATTGCCACGTGGTGAGGAGTTACCATTGAGTTACTGGCTGGAGCTACCATACTCCAGGAAAGAGAAAATGTTAAATAATAATGCTGAGAGCTATTCTGGAAATACAGAAGAAGGATCAAATAAAAAGACAAGTATAAGAAGAAAACAGCCAACCATGTGGTATATATAAGCCTGTGATTCCTGCACTCAGAAACCAAGACAAGATTGCCTAAAGTATGAGGTCAATCAGGGCTGCATATTGAGTACAAGACTAGCCTGGGCCATATAGCAAGATCTCTCTATTAGAAAAAAAGAAAAGAAAAGAGAAATTAAAGGAGAAAAACAGAGGAAATTACATAAAGACATAATTATACAATAAGCAATTGTTTCAAGTTATACTAAAAAAAACATGGTTCTTTGTGATTGAAAAACTGTGAATTTGCTATACATTGAAAATAGTCTTAAATTAAAAAAAAAGCCAGCTCATTTAGCCTTTATTTCCATGTATAAGCCTGCATGTTCGATCAATTGGCCTTAACTGTCTCGTATGTAGTGTGTGCTTCTGTTGTTTTGGCCCTGCCTGAATGTCTGCCTTTAGAAGCCTTGTTTGGCTGTGGTTCTTTGAGATAGTCTCATGCAGGCCAGGCTAGGGTGTGACTCGCCACAGACTCTACATGGGCTGGAGACCTGCATCAGAAGCTTCTGGCACAGCTTTAGAGGTCAAACCCTCAGAGAACTTATGAGTGCAAGCATAAGGACATTTGCTGGGGTGCTCACCCGGAGAAGTAGCCAGCCTGCTGGGGTGCTCACCCGGAGAAGTAGCCAGCCTGCTGGGGTGCTCACCCGGAGAAGCCACGATTGCTGACAAAGAAACACAGCTGGGACAGACACAGTTCGCATCCACCCTGCATGAGGTCACGGTGGATTTGCACAGGGTAGTCACTGAACAGTTGTCTGCATTCCATGCCCACACGGGAGGAGAGGAATTCTGCCAAGTGTGTTCATTTCTGACGGGCTGGTGTGAGGTACCATTTCTTGTGATCTTAGTCCTGGGTGTCAGTTCAGCAAAATTGTGAAATCATAATCAGTACTTCTTTGAACTCTGAAGATAAAAGAGTTAAAACAGGGGGCTGACCGTGGTGACGGGTGCCTGCCATCTGGGTACTCACCCTGAGATAGAGATACGATCATAAATTCAAGGTCACTCTTGTATATAGGAAGTCTGAGGCCAGCCTGGGTTGTGCGAAATTTGGCTTTAAAGATTAACTAAGCCATAAAGTATGTTGTGAGGTGTGCTGCTCCATGGTGTCGGGGTTGGTGGATGCTCTGTGCACATCAGGGTGTTTGCTGGTGACCCCAGAAGAGATAGCAGGCTTGGAGAAGGATGCGCCAGCATAGTTATCAAAGCGGGAGCTTGGGTGGGAGAGCCGGCTCCGTGGTTAGGTCTTCCAATCTTCAGCGGACTGGGCCTGGGGTTAGAGTATAGAGCAGAGTCCCACGTCCCAGAGCGCTGCCCATTCCTGTCCGGGTCAGCTTGCTTTCCTTTGTTTCAGACAATGCGGTTTTAAAGCAAACCGATGAAGGCATACCAGACCAGGACAAAGCCAACAAAGAGATGCTTAGACAATGTTCACCGAGCCCTCAGATTCAGAAAGAAAAAAAAAAAAAAGAATCTATTAGGCGGTTTTGTACTTTGCTTCTGCCAAAGAAGGGCTGTTCTTTGGGGCTTGTTTTTCTAGCTGTCAGTTCTCTCCCGTGGCGAAGGCCAGGGCTTCTCCAGTTTCCCCCAGACTTCTGTGCCCACTGTGCCACCCCGGCTTCCTGTGGTGGTTTCCCCTTCGCTTTTGCTCTGCACGTCAGGTTTTTGACGCTTCCTTTTCCTGACGGATTTACCCAGGGGTTTTATCCGTGTTTTTACTTGTTTCTACACTTATTCGTATAATTCTCTGCACACACACCTGAATGTGTATCTAAGCGTGTGGCCATCGAACCTGAGGTCTGCCTGGACAATGTGAGTGCCCATCTCAAAAACAAACAAAAACAAGCAAGCAAAAAACAAGCCTCCCCCCTAAATAAAAATAAAGAAGAGTATATAAACATATCCTTAACACTCTAGTTACACACACAGGTCAGTAGTGGCCTACAAGCAGCAGCTGATTCAACTTGCATATAATTTAACCTTGGCATAAATTCCTGGCGCTAACAGACTTTATACAGCATGAGTTATCCTTTTATTTAAAAACTTTCTCATGGTTGTGTGCACGCCTCAGCTCATGGAGGTGAGAGGACAGCTTTGGGGAGTCTGCTCTCTCTACTCATCAAGCGGTTCCCCCAGGATAGAACTCTGTTGCTGGATTTTCTTTCCAGCCTGGTCCCACAGCTGCTTCAGCCCCAAATAAATGCACAGATGCTGTATTAGCTATAAAACTATTGGCCAATGACTAGGGCTTCTTATTGGCTAGCTCTGTCTTAATTATTAACCCATTTCTGTAAACCTATGTATCTCCACATGGTCTTACGTTACTGGAGAAGAAGGGTCCAGATCTGCTTCCTCTGCTATGTGGCATCTCTTTTTGGTGGGCTCTCCCTACCTACCTTTCCCAGAATTCTTCCCGTCTCCTAGTCCCACCTATCTTCCTGCCTCTACTGGCCAAACAGTGTTTTATTCATCAACCAATAAGAGAAACACATACACAGAAGGACGTCCCCCATCAGAACTCACACCATCAGGCCTGGCAGCAGGTGCCTTCTCCCGCTGAGCTGTCCCTTTGGCCCCTACATCATTCTGAGTCTTGAGAAACAGCTGTGCTCATGCAGAGAGAGCTAGGAAGAGAGGGTGGGAAAGGAGGAGGGAGGGGAAGCAAACACAAGTATAACAGAAATGAATTCCACAATAAACATCTGTGCAAAGTACAGCAGCATCAATAAAGATTAGGTGCGGAATCTGAAAAGCTTTCAGGAAGGCGGGGCCCTGGAGTCCCCTGGGAAAGGTGATCACATGACCAGAGAAGTTAGAGCCTCATCTGTTTGCACCCCACCACACATCCCCAGAGTCCAGACTTTCCAGAATCGTCCCCCCAAATCCGTTCCTGACGCTCTCTGCAACCCCATGGTGGTCTTCTCTCCTCACCCCCGGCCCCCAGATGTCCCTTACTAACCCGAGTGAAGCCAATTATGTGCCATCCTCCAAGGCAGAGGTGACTGGTCCCTTCCCTCAGGCCTGAGACAGGAGATTACAGCCACCCCGCCAGTGCTGTTCTGTGTAACTAACTACCCCTCTGCGCTATTCTGAGATTAACTACCCCTCTGTGCTATGTAACTAACTACCCCTCTGTGCTGTTCTGTGTGATTAACTACCCCTCTGTGCTGTGTAACTAATTAACCCTCTCTGCTGTTCTGTGTGGTTAACTACCCCTCTGTGCTATGTAACTAACTACCCCCTCTGTGCTGTTCTGTGTGGTTAATTACCCCCTGTGCTATGTAACTAACTACCCCCTCTGTGCTGTTCTGTGTGGCTAACTACCCCCTGTGCTATGTAACTAACTACCCCTCTGTGCTGTTCTGTGTGGCTAACTACCCCTCTGTGCTATGTAACTAACTACCCCTCTGCGCTATTCTGAGATTAACTACCCCTCTGTGCTATGTAACTAACTACCCCTCTGTGCTGTTCTGTGTGATTAACTACCCCTCTGTGCTGTGTAACTAATTAACCCTCTCTGCTGTTCTGTGTGGTTAACTACCCCTCTGTGCTATGTAACTAACTACCCCTCTGTGCTGTTCTGTGTGGTTAATTACCCCCTGTGCTATGTAACTAACTACCCCTCTGTGCTGTTCTGTGTGGTTAACTACCCCTCTGTGCTATGTAACTAACTACCCCTCTGTGCTGTTCTGTGTGGCTAACTACCCCCTGTGCTATGTAACTAACTACCCCTCTGTGCTGTTCTGTGTGATTAACCACCCCTCTGTGCTGTTCTATGTAACTAACCACCCCTCTGTGCTATTCTATGTAACTAACCACCCCTCCGTGCTGTTCATCAGCCTGTGTTGTCTTTTCCTCCCAGCTCTGACATCCCGGCTCTTGTCCTCGGTGCACAGAGATCCTATGGATTGCCTCCCAGTCTCTGCATTGGGACAGTGGCAGACAGTGTGACTAATCGCAGAGGAGGGATTTCTGTCCCCTGCTTTTCTTGTGCCCCAGAATGATGACCTCTGCTTACTGTAATGTCCACATGAAGCTCATACGAAGATTTCTCAGTGTAAGCCTCTGATCCTACCAAAGGTCTTAGGGCTCAGGGAGAAGAGCAGCTGTTGTTTCTCTGCTGGCTTAGTGGCTGCACAGGGATCTACTGATATTTTAATTATCTGTCATCTATGGCCCCTGACTCCACAGTCAATGCCCACAGTCAAACCAGCTACTCACCTGAGGTTGTTTCGGATGTAGCTTTATGAGGAAACTGCAGCAGAGGCATTGTAAGCTCTGAAAATACACAAACTTTTAAAGGTGAGACACACACACACACACACACACACACACACACACACATGCATATCATACAACAGCCTGTGCACAAGTCGGTTAAAGATGGTTTTCTTTTTGTTTTATGTTTGAGCAGGTAAAAGAAATCTGTTAACTTTATAAGTTTGTTTGGACTGTGTAACCAAACTGTAATATTTATCCATATGAAAGGATGGCATATAATAAAAGTTATGAGGACTCTGGATTCAATATGATTTATAACGTCTTATTCAGGCTCAGAGCTGTTCCCATGTGGAAGGATCAACACATACATTACCTGTCCTGTACTTGTCATCGTCATCAATCATCATCATCTTCTTCTTCTTCTTCCTCCTCCTCCTCTTTCTCCTCCTCCTCCCCAATGTCTGTAGCCAAGATTTTCAGGAGGGCCCCCCAAATCAAATCTCATCTTTATTGATTTTGAAGAGATCTATAGATTTTTGTTTCCTGTGGAAACAAAGTCACAACCTCTCTGCCAATGCAACATATTTCCTGACTTCCATTCTGAAGTGAAGACACCCTTAACATACATAGATACATTTAATTTAGCAGCTTCTATAATCCAGAGTCTCTCAGCAGCTATTGGGTTTTTGTTCATTAGCACTTAAAAAAATTCAAAGTCAACCAAGCTCCACACAGGATCCAGACACCCTGTGTGTTTCCCATTTTTATGTGGCTTTTTCCTTTTATCTTACTTTACTCTCTCTTTAAAGACTTCACTTTATTATTTTAAACTATTTTTTCTCTTAACTGCCTATACACATTTTCTTTCTGTAGCATCTAAGCACTTTTTAAAGTATACCATATCTATTTTGAAGTTGTTTTGGTCTGGGACTGACTTTTTGCATGTCTGTAATCTTTTTTTGATTGTGTCAGCCAAACCTCAAACTGCTAAGCTGTGACTGGGCCCTCCACCCCATGGCTCTGCTTAGCACATGGCCTGGTCTCTGCCCCCTTTGGGTCGGTGAGAACGGAGCCTTATGCCCGTGAGCTCTGGCGGGAAGCCGGTCTACCTGCTCTGACTCTGGTAGGTCTTTCTACCTAGTCTCCCAACACGGAGTATCGCGCTGCCTGCTGTTCACAAGCCCCGTTCAAGCGCTCGGTAGCAGGGCCCCTTAAAAGAGCTGCAAGCACTGAGCCTCCTCAGAACTGTCCTTTTTTTCCAGATTTCTCAGGCCCTGTGTGGATTTACATGTCCCCCGTTGGGTACCAAATGTAGCAAGCTTTCTCATCCAGCTCACAAATAATGATGTAGTTATTTATTGTTTATGATCTATTAAAGCTCGCCTGAGGATTCAGAGAGCAAAGTCAGCCACAAGCCATAGAAGCCGGGCGCACACCTTTAATGCCAGCAGCCAGAAGCCGGGAGGTGGTGGCATATGCCTTTAACCCTAGGACTCGGGATTAAGAGGTAGACGATCTCTCTGAGTTCAAGGCCCCTATCCCCCCCCCGGACACATGAGATTGAATCAGTCTAATAGAGTAACAGGCCACACACCTTTAATCCCAGCACTAGAGGGGTATAAAAGGTAGAAGCAGGGTCTACCGTAGTCAGTGGAAGAATTCATTCTCCAAACATCTTGAGAATAGGAAGACATTCAGTCTCAGGATTCTCCAGCCATGCTGAGGAGAGGCAGCAGGATCAGCCCATTCAGTCCAAGGCAGTGGTAAGAGCTAGGAACTGGCTGCTTTGCTTCTCTGAACTTCAGCTTGAACCCCAATATCAGTCTCTGGGTCTTCTGTTAATTTGTGTTACACAATGACACAGAAACTTGTTATGAATTATGAAAGCTCAGCCTACAGCCTAGTCTTGTTCCTAACCAGCTCTTATAACTTAAATCAACCGTTTATATTAATCTACATTCTATCACGTGGTGTTACCTCTCTTCCATCTGTACCTCTTGCTCCCTGTCTGTGTCTCCTGCGTGCCCAGATTCTCCCCGGAAGTCCTGCCTCCACCTCCTGCCTAGCTATTGGCCTTTCAGCTTTTTATTTACACCAATCAGAGCAAATACATCTCTGCACAGCACACAAACATCCCACAACACAGAAGCACCGGAAGAAACCAGCTGAACTAATGAAGTAAGTTTTAACCTGTGGAGGACCAGACTGCCTCTGAACATTTAGGGAACCTCAGTGAGAAACTGGCTTTTCCATGTGCGGCTCCAGCCATCCAGGACAGACTAATCAGCCAGTGTTCTCGGGAAACGAGAAACCCACAGGGTATGGTGAGTTTGCCAAAAGCCCTTGTGGATCATGTAAAGTCAAGTGCTATTTCTCAGTTCTGCTCAAGCCTCTCATTAAGCCAGGTTGCAACTGTGCTCTTCGGAGCTTGGGTTCTGTGGCTCTTTTCTGCTCCCTAAATTAAATACAGCTCAGGTTTCAGAAAATGGCACAGGACGTCAAAAGAGCTCTCAACTCAGGGGCGTGGTGGAGCACACTTGTGGTGTAGCCGCTTCTGAAGGATGGAGACTGTCGGATTGGTGCAGGCCGTCTTGAGCTACACAGTGAGTTGCTGGTCAGCCTGAGCTACCTGAGACCGTCTCTCAAACAGCAGACAAATATTTTTGGTTGTGAGTCTAGCCTTTAACGGCTGAGCCATCTCTCCAGCCCGGACAAATAAGTAAATAAAGTAAAAATAAAAGAGAGTCTCAGACCCAGTATGAATCTTCACCATAAAAAAAATTATAAGTGAGGGTCTGGAGAGGTGACTCAGGAGTTAAGAGCGTGGGCTTTCACAACCTTTGTGGCTGTGTCTTAAGGGGGGGGAGACAGACCCGTGTATGGGAATCAGGAGGGGTTCGATAATGACTGGGACCTCAGCGTGTTTATGGGTACAGCTCAGGAAGAAGCAGTGTCTTCGCCAGCACACTCATACCCCCACCCCCCAAAAAAGCAAAAGTCCCACTAACGTTTAATTCAGTCTATGCAAGTTGGGTCAAAGCCTAACATCACGTGAAGAGGCAGAGACAGACAGTTCAGTAAACGGACTAACCTAAAGCTGCCGCCTGAAAAGTCACATTTTTGTTTTACTTGATCTTTTGAGACAGCGTCTCACTATGTAGCCTTGGCTAGCCTGGAGCTATGTAGACCAGGTGGCCTAGTTATGTAGACCAGGCTGGTCTCTAACTCAGAGACCTGTCTGCCCCTGTCTCCTGAGTGCGGGGATTAAAGGTTGCCAGTGTGCTTGGTTGGTCTCACTTTTAAGCAGAAGCATGGTAGGCTGAGTGGTCGATCAAATTTCTTGCATTTGTCAATCAGTGTTGCAGACACTAGACATTTGGAAGAGAATGAAGTCACTGGCCTGGATCAGAAGTAGCTGGGCAGCCATCCAGGGTCACAACCACCCTACATAATATGGGACTGAACTAGTGTCTTCAATTTGCAGAACTTCCCAAAGAGGACCAGCACGCAGAAAGGGCTGAGAGTCACTCAGTTCTTTGATCTTCAACCTTTTATGTAAAGTCAGCTGAAGTCACTGTTTTGAACTCCCAAGTTTATACCCATCAGGCTCAAAGTCAAAATGGAGTCAGATTCCACGTCACCCGCTATTCTAGTTTCAACAAACACGAAACATTTCCTCCGTCCGAGCCCTTAATCAGAGGTTCCCTGAGGTTAACCAGTCAGTTGGTTCATCTGGTAAGTCCTCTAGCTTGTGGAAGGAAGTGTTTCCTCGTTCTGAAATGGGAGATAATGTCGAGCAAGCCAGGTGCGGTAGAACATGCCTGTCACAGCTGTGTGGAGCAGAGGCAGGCAGATTCCTCTAGTTTGAAGCCGGTATGGTCTATAGTGAGCTCCAGACCAGTGTTGCATAGTGAGACCTTGTCTTAAAGCCAAGTGAAAATGAAGCCAGATCTTTAAATCAAACTAAAAAGACCCTTTAAAGGTCTTTAAAATGCAATTTTTTTAAAAGAAAGAATATGTGTGTGTGTGTGTGTGTGTGTGTGTGTGGCTGTTGGACACATGTAGACTGACTCATGCAGAGTGAGTTCCCCTCAAACCCCATGTGTATTTGGGGATCAAACTCAAGTGTCAGGCTTGGTGGGAAATGCCTGTCTCTTCTGCCTGTGGTTTTATTCCTGGTAAATCTTATTTTAAATCTTTCCCAAGGCTTGCCTGGCAGAAAACATCTGAGGAGGGAGTGTCTTGGCAAGCATGGGTCCCATCTTTCCTTTCACACATGCTTTTCACCCTCTTCAAAAAACCAAAGCTTTTCTCTCATTATCTCCAAGTGGCCAGCCACAAAAGTTGCTAGGGCGGAAAGAGATGATAAGCTAGGTTATTGTGTCTCAAACCCTTTCTAATCAAGCCATGTAGGCCTGGCTGTCCTCCCAGCTTTGCCTCACTGAGATGTCACTCCCAGTCAGGGCAGTACAGGGTCACAGCAGTTGCAACCACCATGCCCCTCCACTTACCAAAAACGAAGGAGTCCCAAGAAGACCCCAGTTCATTTCCCAGACCTCCTGTCAGATGGCTGACAACAGCCTGTAACTCCAGAGGGATCCAACATCCTCTTCTGGAGTCTGAAGCCACTGAACTCACAGTCAGGCACACACACACACACACACACACACACACACACACACACACACAGCAATTGCAACTCTGAAACTACCAGCAGCAATTTGGCCTCAAGGGTTGCTTCCAGGCAGGAATCCTGTTCCCTCAGGCACGGGCTCTATCACAGTCGCTAAAGGAAACTATCTAAATCTCTATCCTTCTATAGCATTCAGGATTCAAAGGTTGAGGTGAAATTCTCCTAGCTCAGAGAGGCTGAGCAGCAAGTAGCTAGCCTTCTCTTCTTGCTCCTGACTCCTGGAAGTGAGGGGCGTCCTTCTGCTCAGCTCCCACTAACGAACCCTCTGCACTTAGTCCCTCCCTGACACTTCTGATCAGCTAGCCTTCTGACTCACCTCCTGATCTCAGGTTCATTTTATTTAGTCAATCGAATGTGACACGTCTTTGCATCGTTAACAAAAGCAGCAGAAACAAATGTAACACGTTAACAAAAGCAGCAGAAACAAATGTAACACGTTAACAAAAGCAGCAGAAACAAATGTAACAACACACCTTTACACAGTTAAGACACTATTACACAACAGCATGGGAGACAGCATGGTCCTTGACTTTATCCCCCAAACAAAGTGTTGTAATGCGATGGTTAATTTTGATTGTATACTTCATTACAAGGAGACCCACCTAGAACAGTAGATATCTGGACATATCTCTCAGAGTACTAAACCCCCCCCCCCCCCGGGGTGGAGGGGAAGCCCCACCTTGAATGTGAATACCCATACCAGAATACCCATATCACGGGCTGGAGTCCCACAAACTGGATAGAGTGGGAAAAAGGAACAAAGCCAGTGAGCACCTTTTCATGTGCCTGCTTCAGATCTGCTCAGATGTGAACAGGCAGCTTGCCGTCCCTGCTCCTACCTTCCCGCCACAACTGGACTATTTCCTCTGCACTGGAGAGGCAGCGTGAGCCCCCCCCCTTACATTGCTGTCTGTTATTTCCTCACAGCAACCAGGAAGCCACTAATATGTACAGGGCTCGCATTGCGTTGAGTGTCACTGGTCTCTCAGGGATAATGTAACACATGAGGGAAGAAGGAAAAAATACAGGAGAGCGTGTGCGTGGCTTAGATGTGGACACTGCCTCCTTTTACAGTGTCTCAGGAGACTGCCAGCCTACTCTACTGTCCTGGTTAGTTCTTGTCACCAACTAGAGCCATCTGAGAGGAAGGAACCTCAATTGAGAAAAAAAAACGCCTCCATTCGGACTGCTCTGGAGGCAGGGCTCTGGGGCATTTTTTTTTATTATTTATTGTGTATACAGTCTTCTGCCAGCAGAGGGCACCAGACCTCATTCAAGGTGGTTGTGAGCCACCATGTGGCTGCTGGGAATTGAACTCAGGACCTCTGGAAGAACAGTCAGTGCTCTTAACCACTGAGCCATCTCTCCAGCCCTGGGGGCATGTTCTTGATTGCTGATTGATAGACATGGACACCCCCTGGGAAGGTGCATGCTCTAATTTCCTCCATGATGGACTGTGATCCCCCAACATGTGAGCCAAATAAAGCCTGACTCCCAGGTTGCTTTAGGGCTTGGTGTTTATCTCAGCAACGGAAAGCACGGGATACATTTCCTTGCGTGCTGTGGACAGCTGTGGAGCTCCCGGTGACCATTAATAGCAGCACAAGCGGAGCTGCAGGCAGCACAGGCTGAGGGCTGCTGGCCGACAGGACCGTCAGGGAAAGCCAGAGTTTGCCAGCAGAGGCATTCCCTGACCTCTAATCAGAACCAGATTTGAAGCTGAGCGCTTATCTTCATGTGGTCATCGTCAGCGGCCCTGACTACCCCTTGTGTGCCTGTGAGTGCAGTGCAGGTCAGAGAACCAGAAGTTGTTGAATCCCCTGTGGCTGCTGGGAGCCAGACTCCAGCCCCCTGTGTGAAACAGGCTTTCTTTTGGGCCACCAGCCAGCTCCGAAATCATCATGTGGAGACTTATTAGTTATGAGTGCTCGGCCTTGGCTTATGCTGTCCCACCAGCTCTTATTACTTAATTTAGCTTGTTTCTCTAAATCTACGTTTTACCTCGGTTTTTTTTTTAACCTTTCTTTCATCCTGTGTGTCCTGCCTTCACTGCTTGCCTTGTGTCTGCCTGTCTGTCTGGCCCTGGGTGTCTCCCTGTCTCTCTCCCTCATTCTTTCCTCTCCTATTCCCTGAGTGTCGCGTCTGCTGCGCAGCCTGTGTCTGAGAACGTGCAGAGGGTGTCGGGGATTGACAACACAGAGACTTGTTCAACGATGTAAAGAAAAC